GGTAGCTTGCCAGGCTTTGCCATGGGGGTGGAATACTCTCGGTAGCTTGCCGGGCTCTCCGAGAAGGGCAGAGGAATCAAACCTGGGTGAGCCACATACAAGCAAACACCCTACCCGCTATGCTATCGCTCCTGCCCAATTATTTATTAACTATAATTAATATCATAACATTAAACATTGCTCAAGTTTTTCCTCTTACAAACAATGCTGCAATGATTATGTGTTTGGGCAGGTTTTTTTGTCTCCTGTTTGGTGTTCAGGAGACCAAAGAGTGCTGAGGATCGAACCCCGGGCTCCTATAAGCAAAACATGTCCTTTAATCCTATGTACAGCAAGTAAGTGCAAAGTCAGGAGTAATCCCTGAGCATTGCCAGGTGTCCCCACGTCCCAAACTGCTTTATGTTTTCATTCACTTTTTCTGCTAGTCATTCAAGAAAGGAAAAAGAGAGGTCGGAGCCATAGTACAGTGGGTAGGGAAAAAGAGAAAAGAAATGTGACTCTTGGGGGCTTTGTTTTGATGCCACACTTGGCAGGGCTTTGGGGTTCCTCCTGGCTGGGTTCATGAAATTCTCTCCCAGCGGGACAGGTGGATTGCTGAAGTGCTTTGAACTATCACTCCCGTCCTGTGGCTATTTTTTTATATTTATTTTATTTTTTGGTTTTGGGGCTATACCCATTTATGTTCGGAGCTTACTCCAGCTTTGTTCAGCGCTTACTCCTGGCTCTGTGCTCAGGGATCAGTCCTGGCAGGTTCAGGGACCATATGGGATGCCAGGGATTGAAACTGGGTTGGCTGCGTGCAAGGCAAGCGCCCTTCCCACTGTACTATAACTTCTGCCCCCTGTGCTTTTAGGTTTAAAGTTTACTTTTGAAAACTAATTTGCAGTTAACATAAAGATTAATAAATAGGCAGGTGGATTATCTTCATTTAGAATCACAAAAGGACTTAGTTAATAAGCAGTATTTTTTGATGGGCATGGTATGATCAGAAAATGATGGCAGTGAGAGTTTAATTTCAAAGTAAAATCACTTCCCACCAGCAGTTTTTGGTCAGCTGGGACATGGTGTTCGATGCATGGTAACAAGGCTGTGATGTTGCTCGGGGCCTGTGGTATTGAGGGTATCCCAGTCACCCCACGGGTGCTGGGGTCTCCAGAACAGCACCCAGAAATGTGTGGGGAAGCATGTGGTGCAGGGAACCAGCCTGGGTCAGGTAGCCACGGTGCTATCTCTTGGCCCCACCTTGAAAATATTTTTTGAATGTTTTAAAAATATTGCAAGGGGGCTGGAGCAATAGCACAGCGGGTAGGGCATTTGCCTTACACTTGGCCAACCCGGGTTCAATTCCCAGCATCTCACATGGTCCCCTGAGCACCGCCTGGGGTGATTCCTGAGTGCGGAGTCAGTAATAACCTCTGTGCATCGCTGGGTGTGACCCAAAAAGCAAAATAAATAAATAAATAAATAAATCATGGTGTTTGTTCAAGGCATTCCGTATTTTTATTAGAATGGTAAGGCCGGAGTAGCTTTTCAACGGGGTGGCCATTGTGGGGTGTGGGTGTGACTGCCGAGGCTTCCAGAAGTACAGGGGGTGGGGTAGGTAGCCCATCCCGGCCCAAGAAAGCCTGGAGATTTCCTACCCGAATTTTCAGCAGATTACATGCTGGTGAGGTCCATCCTGAGACAGTACAGTCAGGCTGGGGATATGGCGGCGTTTTTGGATTGTGGAAGCAAGCGGCTGCCAAAGGTTCTGCTTAGGCGCCCCCCGCCCCAACCCACCCCCTGCGATTTACACAGCTCTGTTTGGCCATGCTTGGGCCTGAAATTAACTGTGGCTTTTGATCCCTTTCGAGATTTATTGATGGGTCTCTGAAATTTCATTTCATTTCATCATTCCATCATCCTGTTATTCGTCGATTGCCTCGAGCAGGCCCCAGTAATGTCTCTTTTATCCTAGCCCTGAGATTATATTCAAGGCTCTTTAGGAGAACGAGACCCATCATTGTTACTGGTATTTGGCATATTTGGTACGCCATGGGGAGTTTGTCAGACTCTGCCCTGTGGGCAGGCTACATTCGATAGCCTGCAAGTTTGTCCAAAGTAGGAATGAGATAATAAGATGTCATAAAAAGATGTCCTGATAAGAGGTCGAGCGGCGGCAAATGCGGCCGCGCGGTTCCGGGACCTGGATTTTATAGTCTCTGAGTCTTGGCCGTTGATGGGATTTCATGGCGCCAGGGGGCCAGGTGGTGGGTGTGACCCCCACCTACTGGAATTTGGAGGATCTGGGTGGAGGATGCTCGACTCCAATCCGAGTAGGCTTGGAGATCTCGGCCCCGGAACCCACGTGGCTTTGTCCCTCTGCCAGTACCTTCATGTGTGCGGAGAGAGGTCTCAGCATGGTGGTGGCTGGTCCTGGAGGTCTTCGGCTGCCGGAGCCCTGGTCAGGGCGGGGAGGAAAGCTCAACCCGCTCCCCTCCAACGGGCCCCGGCGAGGAACAGCCAGGCGCGGGGGCAGAAGACTGCACTGTTCTAGTCCGGGAGCTGGATTTTATAGGGTCTTTTCAGGGTCTCTGAAATAAGGCCAATAATTGAGCTTGTATAGCAGAGATGGAGGTGGTTTGTGGGCATGGATTCCACATATCTAACTTTTGGCCATTTAATTTCTTGATAAAACTTGGCCCCAAGTTGTTGGGGTCCGGCCAAAGGCACAGCAGCAATTTTAGGATATCAGGAAGCCTGAAGGCACCATCAGGCTGTTGATGCACCCGCCCCGCAGGTACAGGTTGACCTGATGGTGGCACCATACCCCCATGGACATTCTTAAAATATAGGGAAAAAATTATTCTTACTGATCAAAAAATAATTCGGGAAATTAAGCAAATCTGGAAAAGGTAGAGAAAATATGAAACTTGAAAGTTATTCTGCAAAACATTTCTTCTGGTTGACAGTATTTAAAAATTACTGTGTCTCTGTGGTTGTTTTTGCAGGTTGGTCCACCCTAAAATGGTGTCTTCCTGGGTAGATTCCCTTCCCAGCTACTCAGGATGTGGCCCCAGCATTGTCCTTGTAGCCATTTAACCATTCAAAGAGGAATCTACATTAGCCTTTCCAGCCTGAAGCAAGAATAGCAGGGGGGGGCGGGGGGGGGGGGGAGGGAGTGCTCTGGGGCATGGGGTGCTTTTCTTCCACTGCTCTGCAGTTTGGAAAGTTGCCATCCATCTGGACTACACTCAGCCTTTTTTCAGACTCCAGAAAAAATTATAGCCAGAAGCTCTGCTTTTTGTCACAAGCAACTACAGCCAAGCTTTAGCCTGGCTGCAGTTCTCTTGCCTCAGACAGTTCTTCTCTGAGTAGGGATCCTAGCTTTTCTTGTTTTGCTTTTTGTTTTGTTTTTGGAGGACCATACCTGCTGGTGCTCAGGGGTTATTCCAGGGCCTGCACTCTGATATCACTTCTGGTGGGACTTGGGGAATCATATGGGATGCCAATGGACTGAGACTGGTTAGCCCTGTGCAAGGCAAGTGCCTTATTCACTGTACTATCATTCTGGCCCCACAGCATGAATTTAAAACTGTATTTTGGGCCCAGAGTTCATGCTTTGCTTGGCAGGAGGTTCCAAATCCCAGTAATGAAAATGGTCCCCTGAGTACCTCCAGGAACTGCTAAGCACAGAGGGGTCTTTGAGACTGTGTGTGGGGCCCAACTAGCAGAAATTAAGAAACAAACACAGAAGGATTGTCTTGCATGTTTGAAGCACTAGATTTGATCCCCAACACCAAATAAGTCATTTTTTTTCCAGGGGTGGGGGTGGGGGGCACATCTGGCAGTGCTCAAAGCTTACTCTTGGCCCTATGCTCAGGAATCTCTCCTAGCAGTCCTCAAGGGACAACAGGGGGTGCCTTAAAGAAAAAGTAAGAAGGGCTGGAGCATAGTAAAATGGGTGGGCCATTTGCCTTGCATGTGGCTGGCTGGGTTCTGGTCCTCCATATCTATACAGCCCCTTCCTACTCCCACCCCCCAACCCCAACTGCTGGGGGTGATTCCTGAGTACAGGGCCAGGAGTAACCCCTGAGCACTACCAGGTGTGGTTCCAGACACCATTTTTTAAGGGTAGCATACATGGCTGTGTGCTCTGTGCTCAGGAATCATTCCTAGTGGGCCTTGGGGAACCACACGTGATGCCAGGGATCAAACCTGTATCAGCCACATGCAAAGCAAGAGGCTTACCCTGCTGAACCAATTCTGCTGCCCCAATTCATTCTTTGATTTTGGACCACACCAGCAATGCTCAGGGCTTACTCCTGGCTCTGAGCTCAGGGATCAATCCTGGCAGTGCTCAGGAGACCATCTCGGGTGCCAGGGATCGAACTCCAGTCAATCACATGCAAGGCCAGTACCCTACCGGCTTCTATTATCACATCGGGTCCCCTAAGAAAAGTTACTTAAAATAACTGTCTTTCAGAACAAGCTTTCAGAACATGAACTTGCAATCCAAACAAGTCAGGACAGAACAAGGGTCGTGATTCATCTAAACAGTGAATCTATTGTGGTAGTCATTTCACGATTTGATTTGTAGATCAGATCAGGAAAAAGGAGAAAGTAAAACCAAGCCGACACATGGCTGAATCTCTTTGCAGAGCGGTGCACAAGCAGCCGAGAGCCCGCCAGTTAGCAATTCTTGGTCTCACCCCTCTGGGACACAGGGGACCTCAACACCTGCGTGCCTGCAGAGGGCGGTGAGAGCGGGGGTCGGGGGCGGGTTGCTGGTGCCCACAGGGGCCCACGGGGTCGCAAAAGCCCTCGGCCTTTCAGCCCCCAGAAGGCCGATCGCGGCCGCCCGGCGTTTCTCGGGGCTGGGGGGGAACGGCCGCCGCCAGCTTCCCCGCCGCGCCGCGGGCGGCCGCGCGGTGACGTCACCGCCCTCCCGCCGCCTCTGGCGCCCCACCTCCTTCCCGGCATGCGCCGCGAGAGCCCCTCCCCCGCCCGCCGCCCGCGGCTGCTGCCAGTCGCCCCAAGATGGCGGACACAATGAGCCGCCGCCGCGCCGGTTGGTCGTGAGGCGACCGTGTGGAGGAGCCGAGCGCCGGGCCCGACCGCCCCCGTCGGAGGAGCGTCGCGCGAGGCGGAGGAGGCCGTGGAGGCGGCTGCCCGGCTGTCGGCCGCTCGCTCGCCGGCCCCCCGCCCCGCCCGGCTCGGCCCCTCAGCCGCCTGCGCGCCCGCCGGGCCCCGCCCCGGCCTTGCGCCGCCGCCGCCGCCGCCGCCATGAAGCTGACCGACAGCGTGCTGCGGAGTTTTCGCGTCGCCAAGGTGTTCCGCGAGAACTCGGACAAGATTAACTGCTTCGACTTTAGCCCCAACGGGGAGACAGTCATCTCGAGTAGCGACGACGACTCCATCGTGCTCTATGACTGCCAGGAGGGCAAGTGAGTGCGGCGGCGGCCCGGCCCGCGTCCCGGGCCCTCCCTCCCTCCGGGCCCGCCCTCCGGCCCGCGCCGGCCGGGCGCCCGTTTCTGGCGCTCGGATACGCCCGAGACGAATTAAGGCCGTGGCCCGTGTGTCTGCGGCCGGCCAGCGCCTGGGCATCGCTGGAAGCCCCGCCTTGACCTTGACCTTTAGACACTCCGGTTTGCCCCCCCCCACGCCCCCCCCTCCCGCCCGCCGCGTGCAGCGGGGCGGGGGGCTGGTCGCGGGCGGCTCCGGCTCCGGCTCCCGCTCACGCCCGCCCGCCCGCCCGCCAGCCGAGGCCGCGCGCCGCCCGCCGCTCCCCGGTGACCTCGATTCGGCCCTGGCAGCCCGCCTGGCCCCTGCCCGCGGAAGGCCCCCGGGGCCACCCTCTGAGCCGGCCGGGGTGGGCCGGGGGGCACGGCCCTCGGCGTTTCCGGGCCGGCCCCGTAGCCTACTTTCTCCCCCCCCCACCCCCCCTCCGGCCCGATGCCCACGTTCACAGTCAACTTTCTCACAGCGACCGAAACTTCCTTTTCGTCAGGCGAAACGAACTTGGCCGCCCCCACCTAACCTACAGTGAAACCCCCCCACCCCACCCCCCAACTCGGTTCCCCCCCAGTAGAACAAAGACAGCACAGTGGAACAATTTCATATGTGTTCTCTTCACACGTTGACAAAGTTACTCTATGGTCCACTTTAGAGTGATCAAAATTTCGACTCTGAAATTTTTATGTTTACTCCAGTGGCCTGGGGAGACCGCCACACCAGTTTCTGAAAATCTCACAAACCCAGCTTGCTTTTTTTTTTTTTTTTGGCGTTCTCCCCCCCCACTCCCCCCACCCCTAATCTTCCCCCCTCACCCCCCACTCCGACCCTGACACAGGCCTCGTCAGAGTAGAAACCCCTTTCTGCAGAATTTGGTTTTCCAGCCACCTTTCCCAGCCGGCTTTGCCAGTGTTTAGCAGAATTACGAATTCAGTAGTTTGTTATCTGTATTCAGAATTTTCCTTTTTTTTTTTAGCTGTTCTCCGTTCTTTTTAGCTGTTCGTTTTGCAAAAACGGATGTCTTCTGTAATCTTATTTTGGAAGTTGTCTTGCTATTTGGTTGCCTAAACTGGTGGAGTTTTTGTTCCGAGCTTTAACGTGCTCTCCAGTTTTTTCCAATGGGGATATGAAAAAGTGTTATGTAACTGACTCTAGGCCGCCCACAGTTAAATGAAAGAGTGCCTATAGTGGGGGGTTGGGGGTGGGGGGGGACGCATTCGTATCTGGATGATGCAGAGTTCATCTAAGTCAGCTTTACTCATGTAGTAAATTTCAGACCAGATCTGGCCATTTGAATAACTTGAGGAAGTAGATTACAAGAAACTGCTCTGGTGGGAGGGGGGATTGGTTGGTCCTTGGTTGTGGGGTCCCAGTCCTAGAGTGAAAAGTAATTTCAAACTGTCCTTGAGTACTTAGTACTTGTACGCAGATTAAAACTTCTCTCTGGAACCTGAGAATGGAGATGTGTAAATAATACCCATTCAAAGCAAATGAATGTTGTGATAGTATTTCTTCACAGTCTGTGATCAGGAGGGACATGATTTTGACTGTTGGAAAAGAAAGCTGGCAATGTCTTCCCTCTACTCTCCCAGCATGCTAGGGATTGGACTTCACCCTGCAAGCCACATGCTCTTTTATTAAGCCACATCCTTGAGCATGGATGACAATTTTAAAACAAAGTTCTAGCTTTATAACAATGCAGTTTATTCACTTAGCCCTTTTTTTCGGGCGGGGAGGAGGGGTGTAGTTGGTAGGGCCACACATGGCAATACTCGATTGCTTCTGTCTCTGCACTCAGGATTTACTCCTTGTGGTGCTCAGGACCTAATGGATATTGGGACCCAACCTGGGTATGGCAGCTTGCAAGCAAGTGCCCTACCTGCTGTGCTATTTCTCCAGATGTTATGTATTATTTTTTACAGAATTATAAACCTAAAAAAAAATTTTTTTTCCCAAAACTCCCAAAGGATTCAAAAAATGGTTACATTTTTCTTTTTATTTTTCCCCCCGCTTTTTGGGTCGCACCCGGTGATGCACAGGGGTTACTCCTGGCTCTGCACTCAGGAATTACCCCTGGCAGTGCTCGGGGTACCATATGGGATGCTGGGAGGCGCGTGGGAGTCAAACGGCCTAGCAGCTGTGCTATCACTCCAGCCCCATGGTTACATTTTTCTTAGCTTGCTTTTCCTTCAGAATGTGTGTGTGTTAGTTTCAAGTTTGTAAGTTGGAGTTGCCAGTCCTTTTTCCTAAATACATATTGTAGATTTCCTAAGCATAGGATATTCTATTTTGGGGGGACAGCCTTGGGGGTGCACCTGTGGTGCTCAGTCCCTACTCCTGATTCTGAATTCAGGTCACTTTGGGAACCAAATGCAGGACAAACCCTAGTCAGCTGCCACTGCAGGCTTTTTGTGTTTGTTGTGACAGTCATACCTAGTGACTATTCTGACTCTCTTGCTCAGGAGTGACCGCTGGCCATGCTTGGAACCTATATGTTGAAAATTCAGAGAGATCAGCTGCTGGAAGGCAAAATATTTTAAAACCCCTGTGTTAACTCTCTGACCCTCAAGGATATTCTCTTGATTAGAGGACAGTGGTCCACTTTAGGGAATGTAAAGTAAAGGCCCTCCCATTGATCATCGATTTGCTCGAGCGGGCCCAGTAACGTCTCCATTGGAGACTTTGTTGTTACTGTGTCTGGCATATCGAATACTCTCGGTAGCTTCCCGGGCTCTCCGAGAGGGGCGGAGGAATCGAACTCGGGTCGGCCATGTTGGCTGCGTGCAAGGCAAACGCCCTACCGCTGTGCTATCGCTCCAGCCCTAGGGAATGTATTAATATAATATTGACAGAATACTATAGGGCGTGTTCTTTTAAATTTCCTCAGTTTTTTGACTTTGATTTGTTACGGGAGAATAGCCTGGTAGAGACCTGGGTTCTAGTTTGGCATTGTGACCTGTTAATGTGACTTGGTTAAATCTCTTCTAGATATTAGCCTAGTAATCCATGAATCAGAAACTTTTTGGAGGTGGGAGGGAGCTCAGGGGTTACTCCTGGCAGTGCTCAGAAGACCACATTGGATGGCAGGGATCAAACCTGTGTCGGCTGTGTGCAAGGCTAGCACCCACTGTACTATCATTCTGGCTCATATTTAGAAATTGTAACATAAAAATTTTGCTGCCTTTGTAGACGAACATAGGGAGAAAAGTAAAAGTAATGCTTATTTGTGAGGCATGGAATCTTTATTAGCATATTCTGTTAGAATTGGAGGGGGATTAAAAATATCTAAAGATTTGGTTTTGGTCCACACCCTCCTGCTCAGGGATCACGGTGGTGCTTGGTGGACCATATGTGGTGCCAGGAATTGAGGATTGAACCGTGGTCATTTTTATGCATGGCAAGCACATTATTCCTGTACTGTCTTTTTAGCCCTTAAAAAAAGATTTTTTTTAAAAAACTTTTTTTTTCAGTTTATTGTTTCTTTATTTTTTTCCCAATGGAGTTAATTCATTTAATGATTTTCCAACTTGAATATATGTATGTTTTGAGGTCTCAGCAGTCAGTTCTCAGGGCTTATTTCCTGGCTCTAAGCTCAGGATCACTCTTGGTGTGGCAAAGGGACTATATTTGAAGTAAATCTCAGGTTAGTGTTACTGCTAATTTTGAGATAAATAGGTTGTGTATAAGTACTGAATTTTTATTATATTTCATCCTGAAATATGGACTTTTCAGGTTCTATTTTCAGTATTTTAGGGAGGCACCCATTGATACTCAGGGTTTACTCCTGGCAGGCTTGGGGAACCATAGGGGATGCTGGGAATCAAACCTGCTTTGTCTTCAAGCAAGGAAGGCAAGAGCTCTACTTGCTCAACTATCGTTCCTGCCTCTCTGTCTTCACTACTATAGAATACTGAAATACCGGGGCCAGAAAGACAGGTAGGGCACTTATATGTGACTGACCAGGTTTGTTCATCTCCAGCACGGTACAAGGCCTGCTAAGTACTCTGAATAGTGATCACGGAGCACAGACTGAGTCAGGAGAAAGTCCTGAGCATGGATGGGTGTGGCCCAAACCAGTCCCCCTAGGGGAAAAAACAGGAGGCTTTGTTTTTTGTTTTGGGGCCACACCCAGTGGTGCCAGGACTTACTCCTGGTTCTGCCCTCGAATTTTTCCTGCTGGTGCAAAAATTAAACCTGGATCAGCCGTTCACAAAGTAAGAGACGGAGCCACTGTACTGTCTATCCAGACTCCAAGAAGGCTGGTTTTCATGGATTTAAAAAAAAATAAGTCAGTTCTAGTGAAAGCAAACATATATTCATTGCACTCTCATTCCCTCAGCCTCTGCATAGCACTATAGCCTTATGGCAAAACCTAGGATAACAGGTCACACCCAACGGTGCAGGGCTTACTCCTGGCTCTCTGTTTAGGGATCGTTCTTGGTAGGGCTCTGGGGACCATGTGAGGTTCTGGGGATGAGGCCAGGTTGGTTCCATGGAAGGAAGTTTCTCTACCTGCTGCAGTGACACTCCAGCCTGCCCAGGATAGTCTTTATAATAACCATTTTAGCTAATCTTTCAGTAGTGTGGAAAGTTAACAACATTTGGAGTTAAAAATCTTGATAGGAAATAGGTTTTATGATGGAGGGACGCTCTTTACCTGACATTGTCAAAGATCGGAGATCAGTGACTTTTTTTTTTCTTTTTTCCTTTTTGGTTTTGGGGCCACAGTCAGTGGTGCTGATAGTTCTCCCCCAGCTCAGTGTTTGGGGTTGCCCCTGGAGATACTGAGGTTTGATGCATGCAAAGCATGGGCTCAGCATGTTAAGCTCTTTTTCCAGCCCATGATTAACCTGCTTGGGGATACTATGATTGTGCTCAGGAGACCTGGGGCTCCACAGTGGATAACTGACCTATACTGTTCTGGTTGTTCAATAAAAATGCCTGAGGATGTGGTGATGTACAGGTTCCCTGTAGATGGAGACTTATTGGACCACCCTGGCAGTGCGTAGGGTCCTCCACTAGCTTGGAAATAAATGCTTTTATGTGAAAGTTGAGAAAAGAGGCAATGACTCATTTTTAGACTTGTTTCCTAACATTTTCGATAAATGTGGGGGTTTTGTTGTTTTTTTTTTTCTGCATTTTGGGTCACAGTCAGCAATGCTCAGGGGTTACTCCGGGATTTGCACTCAGGAGTTACTTACTCCTGATGTTGCTTGGGGGACTATATGGGATGTTGGGTATCAAATCTGGGTCAGCCACGTGCAAGGCAAATGCCCTACCTACTGTATTATTGCTCATGCCCCTTTCAGCACATGTTTTGGACTTGCAGGCTAGAGGACTCTTACTCAAGCATAAGTAGCATTTTAAAAAGTCAGGCAAGGGGGCTAGAGTCACAGTATAATGTGTAGGACATTTGCTTTGCACATGGCCAACCCTGGGTTCGATCCCCCACACTCCATGTGGTCTCCTGAATTCCTCCAAGAGTGATCCCTGAATACAGCCAAGTGTGCCCTCTACAGCAAATGGGCAGTTTCATAACTGGTTTCAGTTTGATAAATTGATTTTTGAAGGGAGAAAAGTAAAAGTAATGCTTATTTGTGAGGCATGGAATCTTGAAGTTTATTTTGAAGTTCATTTCTAAGTTAATGGCTTAATTTCTGCCTCATTTCATATTTGATATATTCATATTTCCTTGTTTGTTATATTATGACTCATATTATTCTGCATGCCTTCTTCCCAAATAGTTGTACTTTTTTGAAATTTTGTTTTGTTTTTGTTTGTTTGGGGAGACCAGCCTGGTGTTGCTTTGGGATTATTTCTACCAGTGCTCGGCCTTTGCTCCGGCCCTGAAACAGATGTGCTTTTTTTTCGAAGCATGCTTTCAAAAATTGTAGTAGAATAAAGTACTATATGAGACTAGAGAGATAGTATGGTGAGTTAAGTGCTTGCCTTGTATATGGGCTACCCAGATTCAATTGCCAGCGTCCCATAGGATCCCCCAAGCAGCACCAGGAATGATTCCTGAGTGCAGAACCAAGAGTAACTCCTGAGAAATGCCAGGTGTGGCCCAATACCAATTGGGGAAAAAAAAAAAAGAATAAAGTAGTTTCAGCCCTAAGGTTTATTTATCTAAGTTTGGCATTTGGTATTCAGAGGTGAAAGGCTTCTTAGTTGTATTTGAATAATTTCGTTTTGTTTTCTTCACTTTAGAAAGAAATTGTTTTCTTCCAGTGTTAGAACTTGCCAAGAATCTTTACTCTGGTGGGAATGTAAGGAAGGGAAGGAAGGTCTCTAAGTTGTCATGGGCAGTTTGATGGTGGTGAGTGCGGTAGCTTTGCACAATATCATAAACTTTTAACACTATTGTAACCATAGTACCTAAACTATAATTTTTTTAAAAAGATAATCCTCACTTAGCCACATTTAAGTTCTTCTCTTTATATGAAAATTCCAGATTTTGGTCTTGAGAATGATCTTAATTTTTTTTCTTAAATTTTTATTAGTGAAACACCATGATGTACAGTTGTAGACTTACAAAATTTTGTGCTTGGGTTTCAGTTATACAATGATCGAATACCCATCTCTCCACCAGTGCCCATTCTCCACCACCACGGATCCCAGTATCCCTCCCACCCCTCTCCCTCCCATCCCACCCTACCTCTGTGGCAGGGCATTCCCTTTTGTTATCTCTCTCCTTTTGAGTGCTGTGGTTTATTATTTTTTTTTTTAATCCATTTTCTTGTCAGGCCAAAGAGAACCCTGTACAGTAAGAAATACGGTGTGGACCTCATCAGATACACTCATGCAGCAAATACCGTTGTTTACAGCTCTAACAAAATAGATGGTAAGCATGCCTTTTAAGCTTTTTCTGTATTTAATGGTGTTGGGGATTAAGCCCATGTCTCCTGCATGGAAGGCATGCACTTTATCACTGAGCCACATGCCTGGCCTTAGCAAGTTGCTTTCTTCAGGTGTTATGGTCATGCTTTATTTTGTTACATAGTTCATGGGATCTTTTGAGTACTGCTTTGATTATAGTAACTTTAAATATTTTCCTATGTTGTTGGTAATGCTAGTTATGTCATATGACTGGAAATGCTGAACACAAACTACCAGTATTTTTGAAAGTCTTGAAGCTGACTGTGAAAGATCTCTAGAGTGGAGATTAAGAATAGGAAGCAACAAGTTATGCTTATGGTTTGTCACCATGAAACTTAAAGACTACTTTTAGATCAAAGGAAAAAAATAACTTGACACAAATGATAAAACAGTGGAAACTTCCTATTCAAAATACATAGATTTGAGAGAATTTTTCATAAATACATCGGCTATTATGATTCAGGGGAACTGAGAAGAGCTTTTGGTGTATGCTGAACTTTTTATGATCTGTGTTATAAGGGACAGTGTACTGTCCTTATCATTGACTCTAGAAACTTTATCTGAATTTTTGGGGCCAGAGAGATAGTGCAGCAGGTAGGGCTCTTGCCTTGCATATGTATCCATCTCCGGTTTGATCCTGGCACCCCATATGGTTCTCTGAGCCTCACCAGGAGTGATCCCCGAGTGCAGCTGGGTTTGGCCCAGAAACCAGAAAATCTAAATTTGATTCCTTTTTACTTTTGAATAAAAATTAATATCTCTGAAAGATAGTTGTTTATAGAAATTAAATTTGTGGATTTCTTTCTCTAATAAATGATTTGTTTTTAACCTGCATTTACCCTGAGGGAATCCATTTTCATTTGATGGATGGTCTAAGTAATTGACCTTTCATGTTAGGACTCTATATGCTTATCTCACTGATTTATTGATGGTCGCATTTTTTTGCAGCAAGATTTTCCTAATGTCATTCAACAAGAAGTGCTTAGACTACTATTTCGGTTATGTGTATGTCAAAGCATATGAGCAAAAGTCTTCTTGAATGAGCCTTTTCCGCTGGTACATAAATTTTAGTGTGTCAGTTCTACTTTTCATACCTCTATTTCAGAAGTAGTTTTCTAAGTGATAGTGCAGTTAATGCTTTCATACAAGAATATAGAATACTGAAATTCTGAGGAAGCACATCTATGTGATCATCTGAATGATTGATATATTGTGTTGGGCTTTTTTGGGGGGTGATTAAATGAGGATTCTCCAAATATAGTGCAAGATGAGCAGATGTGTGGCATTTGCAGCTTTGCTGCCATGCCACGACTATGAGGATGTTGCCTTTCCTGTCTCAAGTATATCCTGAAGAGTTCCTCCAACGCTCCGCTTCCTTTTGCCTGATTCCAGGCTGAGGTAGTAGTTTGTACAGTTTGAGGGTCTATGATACCACCCGGTACAGGAGATAACTGTACAGGCCACTGCCTTGCCAGGAACAGCGCGCCAGCTACCAAGTGGGGTGGAGAGGATGGCGATTCTCTGCTCATCGCTGAGAAACCAGGTAATGGTGAGGAATTCTTTCCTGCTTAGGGCAGGTGAGTAGTCCTAGCAGTGGAATAACCAAGAAGACATTGTATTTGTTATATGAGAAATTTGAAGGTGTTTTCAAGGAAAACAATGTAGAATTCATAGATATATGGAACACAACAAAGAGTGCCTTTTTCCCCCTTTTCTGTTTAAATGTCCTTCTATTAGAAAGTTACCTCTATGGGAGTTGGAATGGTAGTCCAGTAGGTAGGGCACTTACCTTGCATGTGGCTGATCTGGATTCAATCCCTGACACTTTGTATGGTCCCCTGAGCACTGCCGGGTGTGGGCCCAAACTCCAGAGACCCTAAGAAGGTGCCTCTGTGAACCCGGCTGTGTATAAGGCAAGAACTTGCTATTTAATCTCTATTTCTGTGTTCTTTTTGTTATAAAAATGTTTTTTTCTATACTTTCTGAATTTTGGCAGCATTTCCTGTTGCCTCTTTCTCGGTAATTGCTATATTTTTAGGGGCATACTACTTTGCAGTTCTTTTTTTTTTTTTTAATATACCTGGTTCTCATGGGCTACTCTACTCTGTCATAGTGCTTAGGGATTGTTCCCCCTGGTGTTAATGGTGCACTTTGTATTGTTCCCTAGTTCTGTTCCTTAATTTCCTTTCCTTACCATCACCATCATTTTTGTTGTTTTTCTTTACCTTTTCAGATGCATCTTTTTTGGGGGGTGGGTTATTTTGATTTTAGGCAAGACTTCTCTCAGCTCAGTGCTCAGGGGTCATACCTGGGGACCATGTAATGCTGGGGATTGAACCTGGCCTTCTTGCATGCAAAGCATGTATTCCAGTTTGTGAGCACTCTTTCTGGCCCAGAATTATTTTGTTTTTCTATGTTTGTTTCTGGGCCACACCAGGTGGTACTCAGGAGTTACTCTTGGCTCTGTACTCTGGAATCACTCCAGGAACCATATGGGATGTTAGGGATTGAACCCGGGTTGGCTGGGAACAGGGCAAGGACTCCTAACTGCTGTTTTATCTCTCCAACCCCTGGCCCAGAATTTTTTTTAGTATTTATTTCTTCCAACACAGATCTAGATTGTTCCTTTCTGTGGTAATTGTCAAAATCTTACAGTTATGTTTTGTTATAGTTTGAGTTTTAAATGTCTTAAGAGCTTTATAACTGAAAAATTCTTGCTTATTTTAGCATTTTAAACTCACTTCTAATGCATATGGCTCTGGTGAATAGTGTGGCTAATTTAAAAAGTAGTAGTAGGGGCTGAAGCTATGATGGTGTTGTAGGTAAGGCGCTTGTCTTGCACATGGTGGACCTGGGTTTGATTCTGGCACCCCATATGGCATCGCCAGTGTGACCCAAAACCAAAAAAAATAAAGAAGAAAAGTAGTAGTAGATTACTTTTCTTTCTCGTCTGTTTATCTTAATTTGGTGGGTAGAAGGTGCTTTCAGGTATGTTCCCAGGACTCCCAGCCTGGAGGCCTTTCTCAGTGACGGTAGTCCAATAAGCTGATGATGTGGGGTTGTTCGGATCCTGCTGCAATGCTGGGGACCACACCTGCTACCATTCAAAGGACTACAAGGGGGCCAGAGCAATTGTACAGCAGGCCTGGGTTTCAATCCCTGGTATCCCATATGGTTCACTGAGCACTGCCAGGAAAAGTTCCTGAGTACAAAGCCAAGAGTAACCCCTGAGCATTGCTAGGTATGACCCAAACCAAATAACAACAAAAAACACAAAGGACTACATGGTGCTGGGGTTTCAGGGTCAGCCACACTCCCAGCAAGTACCATAATCCCTCTTTGGTTCATTTTGCTGCCTTTTTATTTTTCCCTTTAATTTGGGGGGTGGGTTGGGGGACTGGGTACAGGAGATCAAACCCAGGTCTGCCTCATGCAAGGCAAGTATTATTGCTGTACTATTACTCTGGCTTATTTGTTTAGTTTTTGATTAAAAAAACATTTTAACATTCAATAATATGAAATTTCTATAATTTAATAATATGAGATTGATTTAATAATATGAAGTTAAAGATTGGGTTGCCATGCTACTGAAATAGCCAGACAAATATTTTATGTCGGAGCCCAGCCTAATCCTTGGCTTATCACATCTTCTTTGGACTTGTTTCTACTGCAGCCAACTATTTTTCTTTCCATTCTTTGAACACTGAAACTATTGTAGGGGATGGTTGGTTTGTTTTTGGCCTGAATATGTTTTGGCCTTGATATATTGCAGAACAAGTTACATTGTAACTCTGCAGAATCTACAGATTGGTAGAAAAATAGTGAAATTTTATTTGTTTTTTGTTTGAGATTTTGGGCTACGCCTGGTCCAGGGGTTACTTCTGGCTCTGCACTCAGGAATTACTCCTGATTGGCCTTGGGGAACCATATGGGATGCTGGAGATTGAACCCGAGTCAGGCACATGCAAGGCAAGCTCATTCCCCACTATATTCTCTCTCTTGCCCCAATAATGATATTTTAAAACAGTCTGTGGCCTGTCAGTTTAAGAAATCCACTTTTGTATTTTGTGAAGTCTGTATGTACCCATTCTTCAGCTGTGGAGAGGAGTATCCACTGCTGCTTATTCACAACTTGCTTGGGTAATGAGGGAAAATGAATTCTTTGATGTTTTCTAGATGAAAATGCAAAGTAAAATCACTTTTTAATGGTAGGATATCTTCATACCTTATCTTCTTGCAGATACTATTCGCTACTTGTCCTTACATGACAACAAATACATTCGATACTTTCCTGGACATAGCAAAAGGTAAGATTTAGTGTGCAGAAGTAGTTTTTTTGTATGTTAATATCCAAGGTTATTTGTAGAAGGAGAGATTTTATTAATGAACTGATACTAGTTTCTCACTGTTTTGTTATTTAGCAGTCTTCTTATTTTCTTCTGTGCTTACTTTTGTTGTTGTTGAGGTCTCCCTCTAGCTGTAATCGGGAAGCCATGCAGTGTGCTATGGGGGGACTGTATCTAGGACCTTGTGCTCCTCCACTTCCATTCATATCCCTCACACTCCTTTTAACCTTCCCTAAACAGCCAGCTCTTGATTAATTGAGATTGTAGAGTCATTGTTAGGATGGATGGTATGAAATCCCAGTTAAAACCTAATTAGGAAAAGAAATACAAATTAAGTATAGTGAGTGAGAACTAGGTAGTAAAAGTTGCACTTGTCATTGAGGATCCCAAAATTTCAGATCCTTGGACTTAGTCTCGTACTAAGTTCCTACCTGGCTGGCTGGGGAGTTTCTTTTCCTATCCCTACTATTTCCCAATTTCTGCTTCCCCCACAATAAATTCAGAACCTTAATGAATTGGTCAAGGTCAGTGAGAGTAGAACCTGATCTTGCCTTGCATGCACTGGCCTTGGTTCAATCCCCGGTGCCCCATATGGTCCTTGAGTCTATCAGGAGTGATCCTTGAACACTGACACACTTGTGGCCCAACCAAAAGGGGAAAAGAAGAAAAGCTCTTTTTTAAAAAAAAAAATACACACACACACACACACACAGGTTTTTTGAGCCATAGCTGGCGTTGTTCAGGGCTTATTCCTGGTTGTTTTTTTTTTTTGCTCAGGAATCACTCCTGGATGGCTCGGGGAAACAAACATGTGGGGTGCGCAGGGATTGTACCTGGGTCAGCCACGTGTAAGGTAAGCGCCCTACCCACTGTACTATAGCTCTGACCCCAAAAGAGTCATTTTTGAAGGGCTGGAGCCATAGTACAGTGGATACGGTATTTGCCTTGCACATGGCAACACAGGTTTGGTCTCTGGCATCCCATATAAGTCCCCTGAGCACTGTCAGAAATAATGCCTGAGTAGAGAGCCAGGAAGTTATTCCTTAGTGTCAGTGGGTGTGGCCCAAAACCAAAAAACAGAACAAGCAAAAAAAAAAAATACATGAAAGGGGGTCATTCTTGTGAATGAAACCTTCTAGTATAGGTGGGCCCCTGTTTCAGTAGTCTCTGCTCTACATAAACATGTTCCACATAAGGATCTTAATGAGAATACAGAAAATGAAATAAAATAGTTTTTTGTTTTGAAAGTTGAACTTTTCTAACTCTGCTTTGTAATCTGTCTTCTACCTCAACTCCCCTGTATTTTTTTCTGCGACTTTTTGAGTTTGGCTGTATATTAAGTACATTTCCCTATAGATAGTAATTTAATCATTTGTTATATACTTTCATTTGTAAATGTAAATTCCCCTTGAAAAGTTACAAAACCCTAAGAAAAGGTTGGTAGTTACAAAACCCTAAGAGAAGGTTCTTATTGATTGAGCAGGATTTTTTTGTTTGTTTGTTTTGTTTTTGGTCACTCCTGGGAATGCTTAGCGGTTACTCCAGCTCCTGGCTTTAGAGTTAGGAATCACACCTGGCGGTGCTCCAGGGACCAAATGGGATTCCAGTATCAAATGTAGGTTGGCCACAATATTCCAATTATTGCAAGTACTATCTAGCCACAGGGCAAGAAGTGCTTACGTTGCTGAAGACAAGAGGTAGCAACCAGGAGTGGAACAGATAGTACTGCGGGTAGGGTGTTTGTTTGCTTTGCACACCCAGGTTTGATTCCTGGCACCCCATATGGTCCACCGAGCATTCCAGGAGTAATTTCTGAGCACCACCAGGTATGGTCCCCCAATTTATTTATTTTTTATGTTACTTATTTATTTTTGCTTTTTGGATCACACCCAGCGATGCTCAAGGGTTACTCCTGGCTCAGTACTCAGTTATTACTCCTGGCGGTGCTCGGAGGATCCTATGGGATGCCAGGGATCAAACCCGAGTCAGCCGCATGCAAGGCAAATGCCCTACCCGCTATATTCTCGTTCAGGCCCCCCCCCCCCCCCAATTTTTTTTTTTAAAAAGGCAGCTGGGGCTGGAGTGATAGCATAGTGGGTAACACGTTTGCCTCGCACACGGCCAACCCCAGGTTTGATTCCCAGCATCCCATATGGTCTCCTGAGCACCGTCAGGAATAATTCCTGAGTGCAGAGCCAGGAGTAACCCCTGTGCATAGCTAGGTGTGACCCAAAAAGCAAAATAATAATAATAATAAAAATTTTAAAAGGCAGCTGATGTAGCTTCAGGCAAAGCTTCATGGTTCCAGAAAAAGCATAACTTTATGAAAAATTTCTTTACTATTTGTGGATTAATATTTGTGCAATTTGCACATTTATTGTCAATAAATATGCAGAATTTATTATAGTTCAGAATTCTCTCCAGTATTTGAATTATCCAACCTCTTGACCTCCTGATTAGTAGTGACTTGTCATTTTTTATTTTATTTATTTGGAGAATATCAGTGTAATCCAAATTGAACTCTTATTTTTTGGGGGACAGAGGATGACATGCAGTACTCAGGGCTTACACTTGGCTCTGTGCTTAGGGATCACTCTTTTTTTTTTTTTGCTTTTTTGGGTTCCACCCGGCGATGCTCAGGGTTTACTCCTGGCTCATGCACTCAGGAATTGCTCCTGGCGGTGCTCGGGGACCATATGGGATGCTGGGAATCGAACCTGTGTCGGCCATGTTGGCTGCGTGCAAGGCAAATGCCCTACCCACTGTGCTATCGCTCCAGCCCCAGGGATCACTCTTAATGGGGCTGGGGAATCTTATGGATCTCAGGGATTGAAGCCCCAGTTGGTCTCTTGATAGGCCAAGCACTAGCACTTTGCCCACTGTATTCTCTCTCTCCAATCCCAAGATCCCAAATGACTTCTTAATTTCCCTTTTTCTTTGGAATGGGTTTTTTTTTTTTTTCTTTTTGGGTCACACCTGGCGATGCTCAGGGTTACTCTTGGCTTTGCACTCAGGAATCACTCCTGGCGGTGCTAAGGGGACCATATGGGATGCTGGGGATTGAACCTGGGTCGGCCACGTGCAAGGCAAACTAGCCCTGCCTGCTGTGCTATCACTCCAGCCCCCCATTTTTACTTTCTTAATCGCCTTTAGTTCATACTATTTTTTGGGTGTTGATTCTCTCAGTAAAAAATTTATCCCCCTTGGCAGCTTTTTGCTGATCGTCTTTCTCCTTTTTTGCTATTGGTATTTCTCCTTTTTTTTTCTTTTATTTTTAGGCCGTATCTACTGTTGCTTAAAGGCTATTTCTAGCTTGGTGCTTCTCCAAGCACTCCTGGCTGGGCTGTCCTGTGTTTGGCAGGTCATGTGGTACTAGGTCTCCTACATGCAAAGCATATGCTTCCGCTTGCTGAGCTATCTCTCTGGCCTTTGGCGTTTTGACAGTAAAAAAAACAAGGTTCTCTTCTAGCTTTTCTCCCTCTTAGTCTTTACTCAAGTGTCTCCATCAGTCTCTGTTTCATCACCTCAAGGGCTTCCTAAATCAGCATTTTTATTTATTTTGGTTTGGGGACCATACCCAATGATGCTCTGGGATAACTCCTGGCTCTGCACTCAGATTAGTGTGCACTCTGGCGTTTTTCAGGGGACTATATGGAATGCTGGGGATCGAACCTGGATCAGCCGCACTCAAGACAAGTGCCTTACCAGCTGTACTATTGCTCCAGCCCCTGAATCAGTATTTGTAGCTTGTGTCTGTCATTTTCACTTAGCTTCCACCCACGTGTTTTATGAATATGTGTGAAGATGTTGCTCCAGTGCTGCCACCTGATAGATCTAACACTCCATTATTCAGTTCTTTGGGCCAGATTCCTCTCAATATGCCTCATCTTTCTTCATCTTTGGGCAATTCCTTAGAGTCAAAGTTTCTATTGTCTGTTAACTGTCTTTCCCTTACTGTCATATCCAATGAGTTGCCATGTCTTAGTGATTCTGAGTCGAATAACTTGTATCCCTTTCCTCCATACTCATTCTCCTTTGCTTCTGTCTAATGCTCTAAGATGAATTATTATCAAAATGTAATTAACCATCCAGCTTTATTTAGCACCCTGTAGTACAGTTCTGCTCACTTCAGTCCTTCCTCAGAAAGTTCTCCATATTCCTAATCTTTCTCCATGGACTCAGACTCAACTGTGGATATGACCTATTTCCTAATGGCATCACTCCAGTTTAGGTGATTTGTGGACTTGCTGAACACAGGCCTTATATTTTCCTACCTGGCACCTTCTAGAAAGGCATTTTCCATCAAAAATATCAACTATCTCTGACCCTTTATTAGAGTTTTAAACTGTTAAGCTTCCTTAGAGTTGACACTGGTTTTCTCTTTCTAGTCTCTCTACCTCTAAGCTTTCATAAACCTTTGCATGACACCAAGGTAAACATTTTTTTGTGGGAAGGGTTTTTGTTTGTTTTAGGCCATACCTCTCTCTGCTCAGGGCTTGCTCTTGCAAGGATCACTGCTGGCAGGCTCTGGGGACCGTAAGGGGTGGTAGGAATTGAAACCAGGTTGTCATGTGCAAGGCAAGCACCCTGTCCTCTGTACATTCTCTCTAGCCCCTGGAATTTTTTTTTCCTTTTAGGTCTCACTTGGTTATGCCCAGGTGCTGCTCCTGGTTCAGTGCTAGGGACATTGCTGGCAGTGTTTAGGAGACCAGGTGGTACTGGGGACTAAACCCAGACTTCTGCATGCATGTCTGCCTGTTGAGCTAGCTCTCTCGCCCTGGAGACATATGTTTTGATTTGGTAGCTTTTAGTTGTCTTTTTCTTTACAGTTGTTGTCTTTGATTATTTCCGATTGCTTGTGTGTATTTATTAAAACAGTAAATTTGGAATAATAGATGGGAGGAGTGGTTTAGTGCTCATCTCTAATTTTTATAAATATTTTAATTCAGCTGGGCTGGAACGATAGCACGCTGGGTAAGTCATTTGCCTTGCACATGGCTGATGCGGGTTCAATTTCCCCCGCCCCTCTGGGGAGAGCCTGGCAAGCTGGTGAAAGTATCTCGCCCGCACGGCAAAGCCTGGCAAGCTATCTATAACATATTCGATATGCCAAAAACAGTAACAACAAAGTCGTTACTGGTGTCCAATCGAGCAAATTGATGAACAATGGGAAGACAGTGCTACAGTGCAGTGCTATTTTAATCAACTAATTTATCTTGATGCATTGCAGAGTGGTGGCCTTGTCCATGTCACCTGTGGATGACACTTTCATTTCTGGGTCTCTTGATAAGACCATTCGACTTTGGGATCTCCGGTCTCCTAACTGCCAGGTAATGATTCCTCACAGTTATACTTCAGATACTTTCTATAGGAAGCACTGCCATCACTCTCTTTCTTAAAGAAGGGTAAAACAGTTGTTCTATCCTGGATCCTGAAGTCTTTTTAGACTTGGAGGGGGACTCTACCTGGTAGATACCTGATAATTTAGCAAACATATTGCATATTGCATCTTGTGCTATGTTTAGTTTTTAAAAACATTTTACCTTAAAGCATGCATTTTAACTTTAATTAAGTGGTTATAAAATTACTTACCAGTTTTTTACAATGATCTCTTTTTTTAAAAGTCTCATTTTGTTGAAGCTTGCTTTTTCTGTTGTAGGTATATTATCTACAATTGTCGATAATTCTGTTATAAAATATTATAAATTATTTAAAAATAATTGTTATTATTTTGTGCCCCTTAGCTTTCATTGGAAGAAGTAAATTATTTAGTTGTTCATTGATTTTTTTTTTCCTTAATTCTTCATAGGGCCTCATGCATCTACAGGGCAAACCAGTTTGCTCTTTTGATCCAGAAGGGTTAATTTTTGCTGCAGGTGTCAATTCTGAAATGGTCAAACTTTATGACCTTCGCTCTTTTGATAAGGTAAATTTTTGAATCTTTGAGCTATCTTGTTTATTTGGGAAGATTTGAAGGGTGAGATGGACGGTTAAAAATATTGTCTATGATAGAAGCCTGTGGTACGTACTAGAAAGCATAAGAACAGTGATTTGTCCTCTGGTTCCTCAAGTTAAAACTAAGAAATGTAAAGGGATAGAAGGCTTGGCTCTGGTAAAATGACATTTCTTTGCTTTGGACTAGGAATGCTATTTTTATATTTTTGCAGGGGCCATTTGCAACTTTTAAGATGCAGTATGATCGGACCTGTGAGTGGACAGGACTTAAGTTCAGCAATGACGGCAAACTCATCCTCATTTCTACCAATGGCAGCTTTATCCGGCTTATTGATGCTTTCAAGGGAGTAGTAATGCACACATTTGGGGTGAGCTGACAGTTTTTGAGTATCACTGTTTCCATTTGGCTGAGAATTGTATTGTAATTAAATGGTAGAGATCTAAGACAAAAACTTTTCCAAAGCAGTAATCCTTGAATGCTGAAGTGTTTTTTCTTTTTTTTAAATCCAGTGTTGTGAATTTGGGGTTTAGATTTTTAAAAAATGAATTGTCTATTTTTAGGTTTTTTTTTTTTTTAGCTACATCTAACATTGCTGAGGGGCTACTACTGGCTCTACTTGAGTGTCAGTTCTAGCAGTGCTCCGAGGATCATATTGCAATGTCTAGGATCAAATCGGGGTCGGCTTCATGCAAAGCAAAGCACCTTAAAATCTGTACTGTCTCTCAGGCCCTTTTTTTTTCATTTCATTTCATCATCCTGTTATTCGTTGATTGCCTCGAGCAGGCCCCAGTAACGTCTCTTTCATCCTAGCCCTGAGATTATATTCACGGCTATTTAGGCCCTTGATATAATAAAATTTTTGTTTGCTTGCTTTGTTTTTATTTTGGGGCCACAGCTGGTGATGCTTGTGGGTTACTCCTGATTGTGCACTCAGTAATCACTCCTGGTGCTCAGGGAGACCATATGGGATGCTAGGGATTGAACCTTGGTTGGCATGTGCAGGCAAGTGCCCTACCTGCTATACTATCTCTCTATCCCCTAGATATAAAACTTTTTTTTTTTTTTTACTTTTTCGGTCACACCCAGCGACGCATACAGGTTAATAATTCCTGGCTTAGAATCTGGAAAAAACCTGAGTGCCCAAGAACAGATGACTGGTTAAAGAAACGTTGGTACATCTACACAATGGAGTACTATGTAGCTGTTAGAAAATATGAAGTCATGAAATTTACATACAAGTGGTACTACATGGAAAGTATTATGCTAAGTGAAATGAGTCAGAAGGAGAGGGACAGATATAAAAAGATTGCATTCATCTGGGGGACATAAAGTAACAAAATAGGAGATTAATACCCAAGAATAGCCAAGATAAGTACCAGGAGGATTACTCCATGGCTTAGAGGCCAGCTGGGCATGCTAGGGGGAAAGGCAGCACAGATAGAGAAGGGAGCACCAAATAAAGGGTGTTTGGAGGATCTTCCCAGGATGGAAGATGCATGTTGAAAGTTGACTGTAGACCGAACATGATTGCCACTCAATGCCCCTTTTGCAGACCACAACACCCAAAAGGAGAGAGAGAACAAAAGGGAATGCCCTGCCACAGAGGCAGGGTGGGATGGAGGGGGATGGGGGTGGGAAGGGTACTGGGATCCATGGTGATGGAAAATGGGCACTGGTGGAGGGATGGGTATTTGATCATTGTATAATCGAAACCCAAGCACAAAAATTTGTAAGTCTACAACTGTACCTCATGGTGTTTCACTAATAAAAATTAAAAAAAAAAAATTCCTGGCTCATGCACTCAGGAATTACTCCTGGCAGTGCTCAGGGGACTATATGGGATGCTGGGACTCAAACCCAGGTTGACCGCATGCAAGGCAAACACCCTACTTGCTGTGCTATCCCTCCAGTCCCAGATATGAAACTCTTAACCATAAGCATTTTCATATCACCATGACTGTGGACTCTGCAACAGGGAATGAATTTTGGAAGGACGGTGACTGAATTTGCAACCATGGTGGCACTGTGAGTTGAAATTTTTATGAAAAGGAAGATGCTATAGATGCTGAGACAATATTTCTGGGCACCTAAATTTTTCTGTCGATGACTCTTAACAAAATAACTTTTTTCTTATTTTAGGGTTATGCCAACAGCAAAGCTGTCACCCTGGAAGCCTCTTTTACTCCAGACTCCCAGTTTATTATGATTGGTAAGCTTCCTTTATCATCATTGGCACTGTCTGTTTATTTATATTACTTTGGGGGGACTGTAGCAACACTACAGAAAGTTTGCTGCTTTCTTTGCATGTGGCTGACACAGGTTTGATCCCTGGCATACCACATGGTTCCACGAGTACCTCCAGGAGTAATTCTTTAGTACAGAACCAGGAGTATGGTCCAAAAACATATACATACTTTATATATAACATGGGTTTTTTTGTTTTGTTTTGTTTTGGTTTTTTTACTATTTTTATTTTTCAGAAGTTGCTATTTATACAACTCTGTATTACATTTGTTCAGGTTTTTATTTTTACTAATTCTATTTTTTAAAAGTTGGTATTGGGGCTGGAGAGATAGCACAGCAGGTAGGGCATTTGCCTTGCACACGGCCGACCCGGGTTCGAGTCCCAGCATCTCTTATGGTCCCCGGAGTAACCCCTGTGCATCACCAGGTGTGACCCAAAAAGTAAAAAAAAAAAAAAGTTGCTATTTACATAACTTTATTTTTCCTTTAAAATTTTCCCCTTCCTTTTTTAGTATGTGTCCCACACTTAGTTGTGATGCTCACTGGAGGTTATACAGTTCATTGGGATGCCAGGGATCAGTCTTGAGGCCTCATACCCACAAAGCAGGTACTCTGATTCTGAGCCATAACCCTGAGTCCTCTATATTATTTTGGTAGTTGTTCTCAGTGTTAGTGTTCTATTAGAGAATGTTATGCCAAATCTGGTTTTGATCTCCAGCACCACAAAAAAAAATGGAAAAATAAAAAGAACTTTCCTGTATTTTTTTTGTCTTGGAACAATACCTAGCGGTGCTCAAGGATCACTCCTGGCAGTGCTCGGGGGATCATATGCGGTACTGGGATCTGTGTCTGTTATTTATAAGGCAAACACCTACCTGCTGTACTATCACTCAGACCCCTTACCTTTTGTACTATCTTAATTTTACAGTTCTTTACTAGGAAAATTTAATAATATTGATTTCCTTAGCCAGGGCGGCAATAGAGTTTAATTATACAGTTACTGTCTTATTAATAATACTAACATAATTGTACATTCAGTTGGTCTTTCTTAGTGGCAAACAGTTGGTAGAATAATTGTAGTGATCCCCATCCCTCTTTAAATGACAAAACTAAGTGACTAAGAGGAAGCTGATTTATGAAGTAACAAAGAAATCAATTCCCAGAGTGATCTTTTTTTCACTGTTGTTTCTTCTGAAGGCTGTGTCCTGGTTTGGTCTCTCCCCAGTGGTCAATCCTTGTCCTTCCCACTTGTCTTTGTATTGTGTCTTGAGTTGTATTTTCTTTGACTGTTTTCTTTAGGTTCAGAGGATGGCAAGATCCATGTTTGGAATGGGGAGAGCGGTATAAAAGTAGCTGTGTTAGATGGCAAACACACAGGCCCCATTACCTGTTTGCAGTTCAACCCCAAGTTCATGACCTTTGCCAGCGCATGTTCCAACATGGTATGTGAACAGTGACAAATGTCCTCTACATAGATACCCTTTTGTTTTGGGGTGGTGGGCGCTTCTACAAGCACAGCAAGTTGGTTTTTAAGTAGGTATATCACGGTCACGGTCCTCCCGTTGTTCATCGATTTGCTCAAGTGGGCCCAGTAACGTCTCCATTGGAGACTTTGTTGTTACTGTGTTTGGCATATCGAATACATCACGGGTAGCTTGCCAGGCTCTGTTGTGCGGGCGAGATACTCTCGGTAGCTTGCCGGGCTCTCCGAGAGGGGTGGAAGAATCGAACTCGGGTCGGCCATGTTGGCCACTTGTAAGGCAAACGCCCTACCCCTGTGCTATCGCTCCAGCCCAGGTATATCACAAGCTCTGAAATACATGTTCTTCAACTGGTGGTGACTTCCTTGTTTTCATCTCTTATTATCTCTTATTGAGCTAGTCATCTGTTTTTTTTTTCCACATTTAAAAAAAAAAATAAAGCACTATGATTTCAAAGCTAATTATAGTTGAGTTTCAGGCATACAATATTGCAATCCTACCACCTGTGTCAACTTCCCCTCCATCAATGTTCCCAGGCTCCCTCCTATATCCACCCACTCATTTATTTTTATTTTATTTTTATTTTTACTGTTCTTCCTATGACTTGGGATAACTTCTAAACTCCCTGGGAAATCTCACGCCATTTTTTTGTTGTCTGTCTTCTAGTTTGTGGGTGGTTTTTATTTTGTTTTGCTTTAATGGTATGGGGGCTAGGAAAGGTAGGCCATACTGAGCAGTGCTCAGTGCTAGGTGACATCTAGTTTTGTGCCCACATTACCTGGGGCAATGCTTCACTGCTTTTTGCATGAGTGGGCAGGGGGAGGGACCATACCTGGTGATGCTCAGGACTTATTCCTGACTCTGTGCTCAGGTATCGATCCAAGGTGAGCCACGTGCTAGACCCATTACCCTACATGCTCTGGTACCTCTCCAGCTGCACTTTTTTTGCCCCTTAAAATACTTTGAACCAGGGCTGGAGAGATTAGTATAGGTGTTAAGATGCTTGCATGTGGGTCTGGAGTGATAGCACAGCGGGTAGGGCGTTTGCCTTGCACACGGCCAACCCAGGTTCTGTTCCCAGCATCCCATATGGTCCCCTGAGCACTGCCAGGAGTGATTCCTGATTGCAGAGCCAGGAGTAATTCCTGTGCATCGCCAGGTGTGTGACTCAAAAAAAAAAAAAAAAAAAAAAAAGATGCTTGCATGTGGCTAACTCCAGGTAGGTCAACATCAGCACTGAAGTATGAAGCCAAGAATAGGCCCTAAGCAGTGCCACATATGACTCCAAAAAATAAAACAAGCCTAAAACTTAGAACCAGCCCCTTTTTTTGAGGGGGCATACCCATCGTTGCCCAGGGGTTACTCCTGTCTCTGCTCTGAGTAATTACTCCTAGCAGTGCTCAGGGGACTATGTGGGATGCTGGAGATCGAACCCAAGTCAGCTGCATGCAAGGCAAGTGCTTTACCTGATGTACTATCTCTCTGGTCCCCTGTGTTTGGAATTTTATTTATTTGTATTTGGAGGCAACACCTTGCAGTGCTCAGGGCTTACTCCTGGGCTGCACTAAGGGAACATATGAGGTGCAGGGGATCAAACCTGCGTCAGCTGTGTGCAAGGCAAATTCCCTATCTGCTATCCTATGACTCCAGCCCATGAAGCAGCCTTTTAGGCTGCAACTTTCCTGTTTTTCATTTCTTTCTCTTGACATCAGATTCCTCAGGAAATTTTATAGTTGGTCATAACTCACTAGGATTTGCTGGGGGTGAAGAGATAATACAGTGGATAGGGCACTTGCCTTGCATATGGCCCTCCTGGGTTCAATATCTGGTATCCCATATGGTGCCCGAACCTATCCAGAAGTGATCCCTGAATGCAGATCCAGGGTAAGTCCTGAGCATAGCCAGCATGTCCAAAACCATTTTTCCCCCCTTCAGACACCTATCTCTTAATAGAAAACAGTAGAATAAAGTTTCAGGGAATTTCTTCAGTTTCTTTATTGTTCTCTTAAACCTTTCTACCTATTCAGGGGCTGAAATGATAGCACAGCAGGTAGGGCGTTTGCCTTGCATGTGGCCGATCCGGGTTTGATTCCCAGCATCTCATATGGTCCCCTGAGCACTGCCAGAAGTAATTCCTGAGTGCATGAGCCAGGAGTAACCCCTGTGTGTCGCTGAGTGTGACCCAAAAAGCGCAAAAAAAAAAAAAAACCTTTTTACCTATTCAGAATGAGGTGTTTTACTACCAACTTGTGCAGTCATGTTGCCCCCTCCCTTCTAATTTGAACGGGAGTATATCTGATGGTGCTCAGGGTATACTCCAGCTCTGTCTGTGGTATTTGCTACCAGCTGACTGGGGAACCATGTGGTGCCAGGGATTGAACCAGATTTTTCACATGCAAGGGATCGACTCATCCTGTTGAATTGTCTCCAGTGCCACTTTCTTTTAGGAAAACAAACAAGAAATTTGTCAACAAAAAAATTCAGTAAACATCTAATTCTGAGCCAGAGAGATAGCTATGGCTAGTGTACACACTTTTCATGTGGAAGACCCGGGTTTGATCCCTGGTACCACCTCATATTCTGAGCACAGAGCCAAAAGTGCTCAGAGCCTTCTGAGCACTGCTGGGTGTTTTTTGTACTGCTGCCGTGCCTACTCCCCCCCACCCCCCCCAATAATAATCAGTCACTCATTTTTAATAACTCAGGAATGAAGGAGCCCATGTGAGGCCATCTAGTGAATTAGCAGTGAGATCATGTTGCCCTGATAATAGATTGAGCATACCTTCCTTACTGGATCACTGTAGAAGGCAGATAGTGGTGGAGGAAATTGTTCATTTTCAAGAATAGGCATGTTTACTTCACAGATTGCCAATTGGTTGGACCTTGAAAGGGGGCCACCAGTGAGTGATCATTCTTCCTCTACATTTGGGGCTAGAAATCTTCATGCTCTGGAGAGAAGGGTAAAAAATATGACTTAGCAATGAGGAAAGAAACCAAGCCTTTTAAAGTTGATTTATGTTCTCCTTCCAGGCCTTCTGGTTGCCCACCATCGATGACTGACCCTGATGCTGCCCAGCTGTTTCTGTGCAGTGAGGGTGGCCAGCTGGAAAAGACTTAGAGGGGACTGAGATAATATTGGGACAGGATTGTTTGCCTGGGCTGGAGAGCATCCTTCCACGTGGCCTTCCCATGGATATGCTGTACATCTGCTCAGAAGAAAAAAATCACTTTGCCAAGCTACTTCAGAAGGACTCTTGGTGCAGCAGATGTGATCGGGACACAGATTTTCCAGTTATTGTTGCACCAAGTTTCTCCAGAGAAGTGACCAAATTCATTATTAGGCTATAGTGGGGCCCTCAAGATGCCTTCAATTTTGAATGTATTTGCTGCTGAGGAGCCGGTTAATTCTGCACATCCCTTCCCCACCCTCATAAATGCATGGGAAGCCACAGTTCTGGTTTTGAGATGCTAGGGCAGCTTAGTGCCCCTTGCCCTCACCCTGCATGTCTTGTTACTGGGTTTCCCTGTGTCATTGTGGCATTATTCCACAGTCATCATGTTACTTAGGTGCCAAACATTTATAGAAAATAAGTTTTCATGTATCTTGGGATCGTAAAAGAATCTACAGATGGATCTTACTTGGCAGAAAGCCTTTCAAATAAGTCGTAAGGGTGGGTGATCTGGGCATGCCTTGGGCTTTGGGTGTTGAGTGGAAAAAGGCCCACAAGCCTAAGGGGGATGGGGAGAGCGAACAAGATCCAAAGATTGAAGGTTAACAGCAGTTTGGTATGGTCCCCCGTTATCAAAGCAAACCCATTGTCCTCCAGGGTGCCTGCTGAGCTTGGTCATGTACTAAGGCAAGGTGGGAATCTTATTTTGTACATGAGAAACATCACACTTTTTTGTGGGCCAGTTTTGTGGAATAAGTCTGAGTTGTTTACACTGATGCCTTCCATGCCCACCACAAATTGTGTACATAGCCAATCTTTCCCCCAGCTCTCAACTAAGAGCTGGCTCTAGGCCTGTGTTATATGTTATATTTAGCCTTTTATATATGACCTGGGATTTCTGTTTGTAATTTAGTGTGTAGACCTTCATTTAAATCTTATGAGTGTATGTGCATACATACATATGTATATGTGCATATGCATACGTATATTTATATATATATATATAAAATACTTGTTCTCAGACTTCAGCTGAAGATGATAGGGTTCTACAGCCCAGGAGAAAGACTGCATCCTTGCTAATAGTGTTTGCCACAGTGTTAGCCTTCCCTATTACCTTCTTCCCTTTGGGAGACTGGATGAAGCAAAGCTTCAAGTGTTTGCTGTTCCCGTGGCAGCTATTTGAGGGTCTGAAGAATGACTCCTTTGTACTCAAGCCGCACTTTGGGGTCCTCACTGCAGTATTAGCCTCCCCTTTTGCCCAGTGATGCTCTATCTGCTCCTGTATACGTGAGTTACTTTTGCATGCCTTTTGTATCTGGCTCACAGCATTTGGAGACAAGCTGCTAGATCCAAGCATTTTCACTTTGCCAATTATAGGTCATTCCTGTCCACCTGCTTTCTTCTTTTCCTTGCTGCTTTTTGGGAGAGGGAACATTCCTAATCAAGGTTTATTTGGTCTGCTGCTAGCTCATGGCTTTTTTGAGCAGGACAGGTGGCCTGTTACTTCAGTAAGTTCCAAACATTTAAGCAGCTAACACATTTCCTGCAGATCTCAGAAACAGGCTGTACAAGGTTAGGACTTTCCCAAGAGTACATAGCTTCTGGAGAAAGCAAACTGTTATTGTCACTGTTCAGTTACAGGGATAGACTGAATTGCTAGCAGTTCCCTTTTTTGTATCATTTTGAATTTTTTTCTAAGTGACTCGTAGAAACTTGCAAAGGTTAGGAAATTGCACAAGAGTCAGGTCTCCATGCCCAGGTAAAAGGAGAGCCTTGAGGTATGGGAAAAGTGCATCCTCATGTGTTCCTTGAGTTTTCTGCATCAAGAAACACCTTGATCTCTGAAGCCACTCCCAGAAGGAAAACTCCCCTTGACAAGCATTGTTAAAATGACTACATAGTGACATAGGGTGTCATCTCTTTGTAGGAAGAAATTTTTACTTGAGCTAGAAAGACTTTTCCAGTAAGTCCAATAGTCCCATGAACCTCTGCATTTAGCAGCACCTGAAGTATTGTAATGTCAAGACCCTTTGAAGTCAACCATGATACTGCTGCTTTTAAGTCAGTAGCAGTGTCTGAGTCTAGAGCTGGCAGCTATAGTGTGTTACATCTTCTAACTTGAGGCATTGGATTTTGTTGCTGATCATAATACACAGTAACTAATGCTCCTTAATGCTGTTAATGTGTGGCCCAGGTTTGATTTCATGTTTGAGTTCAGCTGGGGTCCAGGGCCGAGGCTGCCCCTGAGCATTTGGTAACCCATATCCCTCTATCTTGTTTGATAAATTGGTCAAAGGGTTTTCCTGCTCTGTTCCTGTTGCGGGAACACCGGTAGATGGAAAGCTTACAGCAACAGAACTGCTACCTCCAGTTAGCGGGGGAAAATGAGCTAGGTTTCTTTAGAGCAACAGCCGATACACCTACATTTTTGCTAGGAGGCAAGAATAGTTTTGTCCTCAAGATCTGTCTCCAGGGTAAATGCCATTTTGTCACATTTTGGATTTTTGACTATTCCTTTGACTTCAAACTTTACACCTTTCCCAGACTAGAATCTGCTGCTTCTGCAATACCATTCACAATGTGACTGGCTTTGCTTTCTCAAGTGAGGATAAAATTTAAGGAACCAAAGAGTATAAAAGTTCTGGTAGGAGTAACTGTTCAGAGCGAGTGCTTAGAAACTGGGCTAACAAAAAAGGATGCTTAGTAACTTACCTGCAACCAGAGCAGCCACCAATCATGACTTGCTTAACAACAACAAAGATCTGAATTTTCTTGTACAATGCTCAGACCCTATGAAAAATATGCACTGTCTGGCCTTTATTTGTGGTACCTATGAGTGCAGAGCTGACACCTGAGTTGGGAATGAAAGGGAAAAAATTACAATTGGAAGTACTAAAAACAATGTGGTGTAAATAGGACACAATCAAGTGAGAAGAGAGTCCGCAGGGGACTCATCGGGAACCAGAGATGCTCGCTTTCCTCAGTGAGAATGGGCTACTCACCTTAAGAGTCAGGGTCTAAGCCACTGATTCATATGTGACACTGTACTACTCAACCACCAGCCAGTGGGGTATTTAAAAAAAAAGTACCAGTTGCAATCATAATGCCTATTAAGAATTTAGGAATTTTAAGAATAATTGGTTTGCCACCCAAATGCTACCACTGTTAATCTTTTGGTGTTAAATGTTCTAGACATTTCTGTGCATAGATTTTTGCTGTGTTTACATAGTTGTTATTCTGTACATACAATTTTGTCCTTTTTGTACTTAACATATAAACATTTTTTCCATGTTGCCACTCTTAATCAGTTTTTAGGTTATAACCTCTCCCGTTGGGTTTCTGTAGTTTTTGTTGGCTTTTTTTTCATAGAGTTGGAGGGAGGGATAGGGGTTTCTCTTACTAGTCTTGTTGGCTCACACTGGTAATGCTGTAGGGGTGGATTGTTGGGTTCCCTGGGACTGCCTGATTGTTTCTAGTAAGGTCTGGGCTGGTGGAAGGAAGCCCTAGACCCAGCCCTCAGAATACAGCAGCCCGAGTCTACTCAACACCTGGCTTCAATAAAGCACTCACAGGACCAGCCAGAGTTAAAGTTTAGCAGGTAGGGTGCTTGCCTTGCATGTGTCTGACCCAAATTGAATCCCCAGCATCCCATGTGATCACCTTAGCACCATCGGGGTAATTCCTGAGTGCATAGCCGGTAGTAACCCTGAGCATCGCTGGGTGTGTACTCCCCCAAAAAAGAAATGAGTGTGTGGACTTCAAAGACTACATCTGCTACCTATCAAGGTTTCCTTGCCTTTTATCTTTGGTCAGACTGATAGCCTCTAGCTGGATTAAGGCTTATTCTGTTTAACCCTGGTTATCTGGAGGCAAGATAATGGTGCCTCTTGTTTTTGAGACTCTACCAGATCTGGTACGCAGCTTGACCAATTGCTGGGTAACCCATTGTTAGGCTGTTGAATTGCTAACTAGAGCTGCAGGGTCTGCTTTCTGTTCCTGGGTTGTGCCTGTAAGTTTAGAAAATCACATCTTGCTTGTAGTACACGGGAATCAAGCCTGGTACACTGAGCTCTCTCCAGCTGTGAGTCTTGCCGGGTCCTTTCTGAACCAGAGAAGACAACCATGGGTCTGCCATTTTGCCCCAGTTCTTGGAGGTCTGCCCAGGGCTCTCTGCCCTCTGCACAGCAGTGGAGGGGAAACCCAGTTCTTGAGTGGCAAGCTAATCATAGGTACTCATGACAAGACTGCTGGGGGAGGAGAAACCCTTTCAACTCACCACATGGTAGGAGCGCCTGCTGCAGCAGACACGGGTCCATATGCCTGCTGTGCAGCTGAACTCCTATTACGGCTTGCTCACTGCTAACAGACCCACTCTGCCCACTCCCAGGCTTCTGTCTGTGAGGAATAAGTAGTTACTGAGCTGCGGCAGAAGCAAAGCAAGTATGCTGTGGAGGCAAGCTGTTTCCGCAGTTGACGGGGGAGTGTGAAGAGGCACACATAGGATGCTGCCGCGCAGGATGTGCCCACACTTGGCTGGGTGGGGGAGAAGAGGCACTGCTGAGAAAAGAGGAAGTAAAGCCCCTGTAGGCTTTTACCAGCTGCCTAACTAGACCTAGACCTGGAAAAGCTGCCCAGGCTCCTGGAACCAACCCACAGTTTGCCAGAATCTGACGGGGCACAGAATTGGTGGACTGGATTATGACTCTTAAAAGTCAGAAATTTCAGGTTTCCCCCGTTTCTTCCCTGGAAAACATAGGAAATGAGAGTATAAAGTGGGTTGGATGGTAGGGATAAAGCTTAATTTAGCGCAGCACATGCCTCACATGTGTGAGCCCTGACCTATAACCCCAACCTCCAGTGGGGATAGCCCTGGTATACAGCCTGATAGCCAGCACCATCAGGCCCACTCATTAACCATAAGACCACACTTACAGGCAGAGCATTACCAGTAGACCCTATGAAAGTTAAATGGGCAGGGCTGAAACAATAGTACATCAGTTAGGATGTTTGCCTTGCATGTGGCCAACTCGGGTTCGGTTCCTGGCACCACATAAGGTCCCTCAAATCTGCCAGGAGTGATCCCTAGATGGAAAGCCAGGAATAAGCCCTGAGCACAACCATGTGTGGCAAAAAACACAAAATCAAAATGGACAGGAAAGAGGGTCTCTAAACTTCACCCAAGAGTTAAATACGCAGATTTCACTACTTCTTGAGCCACTGGCCCTCTCCTTCCAGGCTGCACGCAATACTGGGTTTTGAGCTGCCGTAAAAGAGTTGACCTAGTTCATCTCAGGCCAGAGAGAAAGTACAAGGGCTGAGCACTCATCTTACGTGTAGGTGATCCCAGTTTGATCCTCCACACCACATATAGTCCCCTGAGCAGCACCAGGTGAGCCCCTGACCCCCCCCCAAAAAAAAATTAAAAAACTATCTCACTTTGAAACTATAGTAGTAGTCGGGGAGGCTGTGCCCTGCAATTCAACAAGACAGCTTCCTAAGCAGTCTTGACAAGTGCTAGATGATAAAAGTTTTGTAGAGATGAAATTGTGAAGCCAAAGCCCCAACTGATTTATTTCCAGCTAAGTCTGTCACCGTCACTGTCACTCCCGTTGTTCATCGATTTGCTCAAGTGGGCCCAGTAACGTCTCCATTGTGACACTTGTTACTGTGTTTGGCATATCGAATACATCACGGGTGGCTTGCCAGGCTTTGCCTTGAGGGCGAGATACTCTCGGTAGCTTGCCGGGCTCTCCGAGACGGGCGGAGGAATTGAACGCCAGTCAGCCGGGCCGGCCGCGTGCAAGGCAAACTCCCTACCCGCTGTGCTATCGCTCCAGCCCCCAGCTAAGTTTAATGACAAAATTTAATTAAGAAACTAGGGCTGGAGTTCAGACTTTAGTGTATGTGAGAGGCCCAGGTTTGATCCTTGGCACCACACTGTCTCCAGATCACTGTCATTGTGAACCCCTCCATTCCCTAAAACACTAAACTAAGCCAGTCCTGGTATCTTAACTCTAGAGCTCATGTGATAGAAACCTCTGTACCCTGGACAAAGGTTCTCACTGGAGTTCATCCCATGCTAGGAACTTAGGGAGACCACTGAGAAAGTAGTCCTGTGTATACGAGACCTGCTGAGGCGGTGCCAACTGATCTTGGAAGATAAGAGCAAAAAGAATTGTAGGGATCATGGGGCCAGAGCAATAGTGGAGTGGGGTAGAACTCTTCCCTTGCACACAGCCAACCTAGGTACAATCTCTGGAATCCCATCTGGTCCCTGAGCACTGCCAGGAGTATATTCCTGAGTGCAGAGCCAGGAGTAAACCCTGAGCACCGTTGGGTGTGGCCCAAAGACCAAAAGGGGAAAAAAGTAGAGACTAGACAGACACTACAGGCCTCACCTCCCAGACCCCGGCTGAATCACTGGTATCCCTTAGGGTCTCCCAAGCACCACCAGGGTTGCTCCTGAGTACAAAGCCAGGAATAATCCCTGAGCACTGCGGGGTGTGGACCCCAAAACTAGTGTAACAGTAAACTGTACAGGAACTCACTGCCTTGCATGTAGCCTACACAGGTTTGATCCCCAGTCCCCATATAATCTGCTGAGCCTGCCAGGCATGATCCCTGAGCACCACGGGGTGTGACCCAAAACCAAAACCAAAGGACTCACAAGGGCTCTTCTGCACACAGATTTAATAATAGGGAGGTAATGAGGAAGCAAAACAAAGGCACAGTGTGGATATCACCCTAGAGCAGGGCAGGGACCAGGAAGCAGAAATAAGGGAATCTCCATTCTGCCGCCTCCTCTTGCCCCTCCTGTTTTCCCCCAGCTTGAGACCCACAGAGCCCCACAGTGCAGTGCTGGAGGCAGAGGGGAGCAGAGCAGGAGATGAGGTGGCCCTGGTCTAATGAAGGAGGCTCCCACAGCTTCCCAAAGGCACCTTGCCTGGCTCTGAGGGCCAGGGAGGAAAAACCCTGATAACCCATTGCCTGGAGACTTCCGAACACCTCTGCCCCTCCTTGGTCAATATTCTTAGACTGGGAGGGTTCCTATTTGAGTGAGTTGTTAAGGATTCTGAGGGCCTTAAAATCAAGATGGATTTTATGATGGACGTCACTCTCTTCTGTCCAAGCTGGGAGTTGGGCTGGTCTCTCCATATTTCCTGCTCATCAATTCTCTTGGAATGGGGGGATGGAGGTAGTAACATGAGAGCCCTATGCTATCTGGGAGCAGGACCATCAGGGTCTGCTCATGTGTCAGTGTGTGTGTGTGTGGGGGGGGGGGGGGTTCTACTGTTCAGGGTACAGGGATGCCCACCGTGCAGCTGGCCCTGGAGTGCTGCTGGGAAGCGTTATCTGGATCTTCAGTGGCCAAGGCTCCCATGGCCCTGGTGGTGCAAGGGAATCACGAACACAGAGACATCATCGTAGGACACCTGGCCTTCCCCCGTGAGACCGTCATCCTTCCCCTGGGTCTTGTGTATCAGCATTTGGGCCATCTCTGAGAACCTGTTGAGACATCCCTCAGATGCACTCCTGGGGCAGTGCAGAAGCAAGGCCAGCCCTTACTTCGGGAGAACTCACGGCACAGGGCTGGATACTTAGGGGAATAAGCAATACCATCTGAGGGGCCAGGCAAGCTACAAGCCTCGAAGAACCATATGCTGGACCACGGGGGTCCAGACCCAGAGACTTTAGGACTGACAGTCACTCCAAGAAGTCTGAGCCCACCCAGATTCTGGCCACCTTCCAAGCCAGACTCACTCCAAATCTACTACTTAGTGTTTCTAACATCAGCCTAGGCCCAGGACGGTTCCCGGCAGCAAAGTACCTGTGCGGGTCCTCTTGGTTGCCAGGGAGAAAGTTCCGCACCAGCTGTGCCACCTGCTCATTGGACAGGACATCCCAGAGCCCATCAGTTGCCATGATGACCACGTCGTCCTCCTGCAGCTCCAGCTGGTCCACATCGAGCACCGTCACCTACAAGTCAAGCCTGAGGATGCTCAGTGCTCCCACCAGCTTCACTTGCCCACCTGGGCAGATGGAAGCTGAGTGGGCTACTGCCCCTTTACCTGTGGGACAGACAGCAAGAAGGGCTTCAACTGGATGTTTGTGTCCAGGACTCTGAGCTGATGGTCTCCCAGGCCCCGGGAAACTGCCAGTGTTCCCAGTAACCGAGACTGGGGGACAAGGGAGTATGAGGTGACAGTTAGCAGTGTAGCAAATGCATAAGCAAAGAACATAGGTCAGCTTGGGAGGCATGAGTTAAGGAAAAACCATCGTTTGGTCTTGGAGCGAAGTCCAGAACCCAGCCACAGACCCCCAATAAGGAACAAAGGGATTCCCACTTCTTGGAGGGGTAACTGGAGAGGAACTCTTAGAGGGGGACATTCACTGACCTGCCTCCCCTGTCCTTGAATCAGTGGGTACTTGAGATCCGACTTCTCCACACACTTGTAGCTCCTACCAGGGGCAAACTTCACATCAACCCAGGCCCTAACCCCCACCTCAACTCTCCTGACACATTACCTACCCTGCCCAGGTCAGAGAGAACTGTCCTTGGCCACGGGCTAGACCCTTGCATTCTCCCTCCCCACTGTTAACAGGCAATGCACCCCCGCCATGCTCACCAGCCACTCATGTGGTAATCCCGGAACAAAACCTTCTGCCCCAAATCATCTGCCTTCAGCCTCCGAGGGAACTCCAGTCGAGTGAACTCACCAGCCAAAAGTTCGGGATAGACAAAGGCCTGATTTGGGGAGATGGTGCTCAGATCAGACATCCTCTGGTAGCCCTCAGACCCAGGAATTGGGGTCACACCTTCCCTCTGCCCAGGGTGCCTACCAGGTGCTGGATACGCTGTCGCTCAATCTCAGGGGTGAACTCTGAGCTCAGAGGCCGTACCTCCTCTCTCCGCACCAGGATGGCCCTGGATGGGGTCGGGGAGGAGGGAGAGACCTGTGGCGTAGTCTCCACCCTTGCCCCTAGCCTGCCAATCCCTCCACCCATCAGGAACACACTCTCCCCAAGCCAATCCCATGTCCAGGGCCAGCAGTCATGGGCCTTTCAGGCTCAGCCCGTCCTGGCATCTGATGTCCACCCTTAGATTCAAAACCCTGACTCAGCTGGTCAATCCTGCCCATTCCCATCCCTCCCTTTCCAGGCCCATCTGGGGCCTGAGTGGCAGCACTGCCCAGTTGCCACCCGCATCTCCCCTCCGGCCAGGGCTCACTCACCTGCTATCCCCGGCATTGGCCACGTAGAGCTTTCCCTGCAGGAACACAGCCACCAGGGCTGTGCAGCCGCCCACCTGGCCTGATGCTTCCAGCTCCCGCCCGATCACCTCATCCTGGGGCAAACCGAAGCTGCTTTAGCTGATGCTTCCTTGCCACCAACCACTGTCCCCCATCCCCACCTACAGTTCACTTTCTACCTGCAAACCTGGCAGTCCCAGCAAAATCTAGCCATGACCCCAGAAGGTCAGGAGTTGACATAGGTGTTTCTATCTTTTTTTCTTTTTGGGTCACACCCGGCGATGCACAGGGGTTACTCCTGGCTCTGCACTCAGAATTACTCCTGACGGTGCTCAGGGGACCATATGGGATGCTGGGAATCGAACCCGGGTCGGCCGTGTGCAAGGCAAATGCCCTATCCGCTGTGCTATCGCTCCAGCCCTGACATAGGTGTTTCTTGCAAAGAGGGAAGTTTTACTCAAAACGTGGCGGAAGGGAAACCCAACTCCGGGACAATGTACGTGCTAGGTAAATGGAGAAGGTGTGATTAGGACAATGACTCAATCTTGTCCTCTCAGTCTAAAGACCAGGTGATCTCCACTGTGTGCAGGATACCCCACCACCCAGAGCTCTAAGGTCCCTCCCCCCACCACACACACTCACGCATTCCTGGAAGGCGTTCTCCAGAGCCCCGATCACCAAGTCTTCTGCCCTAATGCCCTTTTCCTCCACAAATTGGGGATCACTCTGGCAGACACAGTGGCCACTGAGGTGCATGGGAGGTTGAGTGGCCACCAGACCATCTACTATGGCCTCCAGCTGCCGGCGCAGGCAGGAATGCAGGGTGTTGGCAGCCAGGATGGCTGCAGCCGGACCACCATGCCCATCAAACAGGGCCCAGTAGTAGCCATTCAGGAACTGGATGGGAAGGGCTGAGTGTCAGGCTCTTCCAGGCTTCCCCAACTGTCCCTGCACAGAGCAGGGACAGCAGGACAAGACCCTCAGCCTGGCCCCTGGACAGAGCCTCACTCGCTCCAAGGGCTTGGGCCTGGCTGTGCTCACCTCCTCTGGGCACAAGTTCAGCCACTCCTGGTCCTCTTCAGTCCCAAAGTCACATCTTCGTATGCACAGCTTCCCACAGGAAGCCTGGTCTTCATTGAACTCGGATTTCTCTGCATTGATGATCCTGAGGGTAGAGTCAGGGCTGGGTTCCCCATATCATCCCTAACCCACACCAGGATAAAGACCTGATAAGGGGCAGAGCAATGGTACAATGGGAAGGACATTTGCCTTGCACACAACCAACCCAGGTTCAATCCCTGGCATCCCATATGGTCCCCCAAGCAGGAGCCAGGAGTAATGACTGGGTGCAGATCCAGGTAACCTCTGATCCAGGCTACCTCAACAGGTAGGGCCAGTTGAGGCCCTAAAACAAAAAGAGTTTTGCTTGAGCAAAACTCTGCCCGCAAGCAAAACTCTGCCCAGCCCCTGCTACCTGCCGGAATGGAAGGTAAGGGCAGGCAAGCTGGAGAGATCTAACTCTTGCCAGTGCCCCCCGACCCCATCCCAATCACAATTCCTGACCCGACAGCAGCGGCCAACAGCCCGGTGCATAGGATGGTGAGGGCACGGAGCTCTGCCCAGACTCAGTCCCTGCTCTCCCGGGCGACGGGGGAGTACGTGCTTCCCGACCCCATGCCCTCAGGGAGGCTGTTGGAGACCCCAAGAAGAGGCACAGGGGAAACGGGAGGGGTAAAGAAGTGAGGGCAAACGCGGTGCGTCCACGGCTGAGGGCGGGGGCGGCAGCTGCACGGCCGGCTGGCCCAGGGCCCCCGGGGCGGGTAATCCCCGGGGCCGGCTGTGCGGAGGGTCGCGGGGGGCTCGCCCCGGGTGGGCACTCACTCGGCGTAGCCTGCGTTCCAGGGCAGCGCGCGGCCCCGCGCAGGGCTGTGCACGGGCCGGGCGCCCGGGCCGAGGGCAGCGTCCGCGCCGCGCAGGAAGCGGGGCCGCCGATAGGGCACGGGGCTGGCGCGCGGCCTCGGCGGGCGCGGCGCGGGCACCGGACCCCCCGGCAGGAAGCGGCGCCGGAACCAGCAGGCGGACATGGCGCGGTAGCGCGGCTGCCCGCCGAGGCCGGCCCGGACCATCACCGCGCGGCCGTCCGGGCCCGAGGAAGGGGCCGGGGGCGGGCGGGGCCGCGGGGAGGGGCGGGGCCTCCCAAGCTCCACCCCCACCACGCCCCCGAGTTCATTGTGGCCCGCGCGCAACGCCTCGCAAACTCAGCAACGGGCAGACCTTGTCCCCATCCCCACTTTGCAGGTCAGAACATAGAGGCTTGAGAGAGACCGAGGCAGAGAGAGAAGAGAGAGAGAGAGAAAAGAGAGAAAGAAAGAAAAAGGAGAGAGAGAAAGAAAGAAAGAAAGAAAGAAAGAAAGAAAGAAAGAAAGAAGAAAGAAACACAAAATAAAAAAGAAAAGAAAGAAGATAGCGGCCTAAAGTGATGAAGTCGCTTGCCTGAGTCACCCAGGCAGACTTGTCCCCATTGCCGTGCAACCCCGGCCTTTGGCAGGGAAATTGTGCCTTCTCCCCACCCAAAAGAGGCATGTCTGTTCCAGGCCCCCTCCCCCCTCGGGCCTCCAGCCTCTGGCTGGGGCTGGACATTACAAAAGGGAAAATGGGAAGCAGGTGTCCTCGGAAGGGCCATATAGTAAGCACCGGGCCTGCCAGCCCCATCCTCGCTCAGCGCCCCAAGGGGCTCCTTGTCCCCTGTCTTGTTTTCCTCCTCCAGATATGTAGCTCTGCCCTCTGGGCGGGCTCCACCAAGTCAGACCTGGACTGAGGGAAGTGAAAGACTAATTGGGGCCACAGCACAATGGCGCAGCCCATCGGGTTCAGCGGAAGAAAAGGGAAGTCGCCTAAAGCCTGGATGTGCTGGTTCCATTCTGAGGGTGCAGCTGACTCAGACCCACAACCCAGCCTGGGTTTCTCTCTTCCCCTTTCGCCCCCCTCCCAGGAAGGACAGGGCAGGCACCAAGCTTCCTCCTGGGCACCAGCCCTGCCCTGAGGGGCTCCCCCTCCTCTAAGAGGAAAGTTTCAGGGCAGGGAGCTGAGCCTAATCCCCTCCCACAGAGAATCCATTCCACAGCCACTGGGCCAGTTTCCTGCAGCACTGTGGGTGGCAGGGGAGGTGCCCAGAGAGATAGGTTACCTGCAGGGTCAAGCAGGAGGAAAGGCAGGCAGAGGTCAGAGGGCATCTGAGCTGTGACTTACCACTGGGACAGAAATGGCACAAGGACCCAGCATGGAGCTGGGTTCATTGATTTTTGGCTTTTTTTTTGTCAAACCTGATGATGCTCAGGATTTACTCCTGGCTTTCCACTCAGGAATTGTTAGTCTTGGTGGTGCTCAGGGGACAATATGGGAGGCCAGGGATCGAACCCGGATCGGCCGCGTGCAAGGCAAATGCCTTACCTGCTGTACTATCGCTCCAGCCCTCATTACTGTTCTTAACTACATTTATTTTGCTTATTTTCTTGAGAGATAGTACAGCCAGAAAGGTACTTACCTTGCATGTGGTCAACCCAAACTCAATTCCCAGCGTCCCACATGGTCTCCTGAACACCACCAGGAGTGATTATTTCTTTCTTTCTTTTTTTCACTTTTTGGATCACACCCAGCGATGCCTAGGGGTTACTGCTGGCTCTGCACTCAGGAATTACTCCTGGCAGTGCTTGGGGGACCATATGGGATGCCGGGGATTGAACCCGGATCGACCGAGTACAAGGCAAATGCCCTACCCACTGTACTATCGCCCCGGCCCCCAGGAGTGATTTCTGAACACAGAGCCAGGAGAAAGTCCCAAACATAGCAACATAGCAAGGTATGCCCCCTGTACACACACACACACACACACACACACACACACACACACACTAAAAGGAAAAGAAAATCACTATCCTAGAAAAAGTAACCACAATGCCATATTCACTGCTGCATTATTTACAATAGACAAATATGATAGATACACACACACACACACAAGTGAATATTATGCAACCATAAAAAAGGAGAACCATGCCATTTGTGACTACACGGTTGGGCCTCAAAGGCATCACACTGAAATAAGTCCGGGACAGAAGGATGAAGATTTAAGATGTCCTCATATGTGAAATCTAAAAGAAAGAAAGCTTAAATTCATACAGAGAAGGGGGACAGGGTGCAGGTAGGAGAAAATGGATGGAGGTGATCAAAAGCCACAAATCTGCAGGTTCATGATAAAGAAGTCGGGGGAAGTAAAGTGCAGGAGAGTAAGGATGGATCCTTCACAGCACTGGACTGGACATTGAAAAGTTGCTGAAACACGAAACAAGATTGCAACATACGAGGTTTATGAGGGGGATCTACTGTCTCAGTATCATGCTTTTTCATCTGTCCCATCTTTAGGTTGTATCCTTGAGGGAACACAGTGTTATTTGCCACTTATATTTCATTTCAGTGGTTGTCCTTGTAGAGACAAGGAGCAGATACTCCCCTGGACTCATTTGCAGAGCTCTGCACAGCTTTCTCGTCTTTCTGCCTGAAACTGGATCTCAGCAGGAGAAGGGGCCTGTCTGGGTGCTCACTAGCCCTTGGGCTTCTTGCCCACATCCCAGAATCTAAAGTTGATCTGGATCAGGCTCCAAATGGTCTCTCAGGAAGTTCCCTTCTCTGGTTATGTCCTCACCACTGAGGTGTAAAATACGGATAAAAGCACCACTAGAGCCATTGCCCAATAGAACTTCTTATCCTGTGCCTGTTAGAACCTCTTGAGCAAAGTAAACAGAGATTTTTGGGTACGTTCATGCCATATGACCTTGGTAAATCACTCTGTAGCTCTGAACTTCAGCATCTGGAAATAATAAGCACACCTAAATGGTAGAGGATGCAACAGACATGCGTGGCATGTGATAAATGTGAAGAAAGTATATGAGGACCAGAGTAATAGTACAGCAGGTAATGTGCTTGCCTTGCACACAGCTGACCTGAGCTCCATATGGTCCCCCGAGTCCACCAGGAGTAATCCCTGAGAAAAGAGCCTGGGGCACCACCAGATGTGGCCCATAAACAAAGAAAAAAAAAGAAAAAAAAGATTTTATCTAGTGATGGGTATCTTTAGCATTGTTTACCATTAATCTGTTTTCCTGTCTAGTTCCTAATTTCAACTGCTAGAGGGGTTTTTATTTCATGGATCTGTCCAGTTTTCCCGTGGAGGTGGTCAGGTCTGAGAGCAGAGGTAACCTCTATGATGCTGGCCCCATTTGGAGTATGGCAGGACTGGGTCAGGCTCCAGCAGGTGTTCTAATGAGCTGATCCTCCCAGCCAGCCTGCAGGACCACGTGCGGTGTGTTTCATGGTGATGCTGGTGGCTGAGGTGCCTAGTTCTCCTTCAAATGTGTGTGTCCTGGCAGAGGAGAAATTCAGGCTCTGCAGCCAATAGAGACACACCTATGCTGCACAGTCAGGGTAGGTAGTTGAATGGTGAACCGAGAGCATATACTGGTGCCAGATTTGGGGCAGGCCCTCTTATTCCATCACTATCTCTCAGAAGCCCCAGCTCCGTACAGCAGCTTCCCTTCCAGTCTGCCCCGCCCGTCCCAAGACTGGGTTGGACTGGACAAACTTGGGTCATATTTCCTGACCCCCTCTGCTCCCACCACTGCACACACACACAATGACAGTGGCCATTAAGTCCTATGAGGCTTATTGGCTAGGAGAAAGCAAGGCTGCTGGTAGCGGGGCAAAGGCTTCTTTAGGAATTGGGACGTTCCCCACTCACTAAATTCTAGCTCTCCAATTCTGGGGCATTTGCAGCTCCCTCTTTTGGCAAATCGTTTTCCCCTCTACTTTGCCGGATTTCCACTCAAATTTCGCCTCATTTGCTTGCTCTCTGGTATGTCAATCTGGGCCCCAAGCAGGAGGTAAGACTCTTGGGCTACGTCGGCCTTGAGAGGCCCAGTGCACTGGAGGTGCCCAGGAAATGTTGCCTTGGACGTGCCATTACCCAGATGCAGACTCCCCCTCTTCCCATTCCCCAAAGGGGATAGAAGGGAGAATCTGTCAATTTCCCAGTAAATTGGCAAACCCACCTGCTCTGGGCTGCATGAAGTTGCATGTGCTTCACACAGACCTCCAGAATTAGAGTGCGCGCGCACACACGGGCGTGCACCTACGCACGCTCGGCCACACGTGGTCTTTGCCACGAAGCCTGGCGCAGGCGCAGGGACGCGTGGACGAGGCCCCCTCCGAAGCCCCATCCAGAGGCTGATGCGCCCCTTGCGCGCACGCGCAGCCCAGGCCCCGCCTCCCCGGCCTCGCCCATCGGGGGCGGGGCGCGCTGGGGGCGGGTCCTGCGGCACCGCCCGGGAAGCAGCGCGAGGCTGCCGGCCGCCGCCACATCCTCCTCCTCCGGGTCCGAGCGAGCGGAGCTGGGGCAGGGCCGAGCCGAGGGTCCGAGGGCGCGGGCGGAGCAGGGCACGGAGCCATGGCGCACCAGACGGGCATCCACGGTGAGGGCGGATGCAGAGCGGGCAGGGGGCTGAGGGTCTCCGCTGGCGGCTGCTCCTCCTCCTTCCCGGCTCTCGGCCCCTATTTCCTCCCGGCTCTCAAACGGGGAAGCTTCCTGTTCTCTCTTGCAGCCGCGGCTCGCCTGTGGTGGGCGCATCTGGGCGGGCAGACTTAAGTGTGCATAGCCGGGAGTGGGTGTATGTGTACGTACCCTGCTGGAGTGCAAGCATCTGCGTACCCATCTGGGCACGGGTCTTCCCGTGCATGCCCATCTGTATATTTTTGCCCCTGGGCTGGAGGTGGGTGTACCCGGATGTGCACAGCTGGGAAGTCTGCACACATCTGGATTGTGCGTGCCCAGGGTCAGTCATGCATATGCTCTAACGGCCAGTGGGATGAGCCCCGTCGCATGCAACCATCTTTGGAGATCCGTGTTTCGTGACTGTGTACACACGTCTGTGGGTGTCTGTGTGCGCGCACTCAGGGCGCATCTCAGTGTGCATTTGTTGCCATGGATGCATGTACCGGATGTGCCTGTGTTCGACTTATATGGGTTTGTGGCTGAGTGAGGATGGGACCTTAGCTCCTCCCAGCTCTCACATAGTCCCCCAGTCTACAAAGTGGGGTGAAGAGTTGCCCATCTGACCTTGACCTCCCATCTGTCTCCTTTGTCTCCCTCCCCCACCCCCACCCTCATCTCCTGAGTCAGCCCCATGCAGGCCTGAAAGTCCAGCTCCAGGAGATGCCGAGAAGAGAATTCACATAGAGGGCTTGGGGGTGGGGGTTCCACCCTCCACGCCAGATGTGCTTTCCACCCTTGGGCCGGGAGAGAAGCCAGTGCCTAGGAATCCAGGGTGTCTTAGTTTTACCTGGCCTGCGAGGGCTGCCGGGCCTATGGGGGGAAGCCAGGCGACGTGCCCAGAAAGCGAGGCGGTTTGGCCCTCCGCCACTCCTCACACCACACCCGGATCCCCGCCCGGGGCCACCTCCATCGACCCTGCTGACCGCCTGGAGCTCGGCTTGCGGTTGTGGCATTGTGGCTGGGTGGCTGGACTGCCTTGGTAGGTGCCCTGGGACTAGCTGGACTGGGTCTGGGCACACTGGGCCCCAGCAGGAGCTGGAGGGGCGACTTCCTGACTCAGCCCCCGAGGAGGGAGCAGCCTGACCTGCCCCTTCCTGCCCCTTCCTTCCGCTTTGTCCGGCCAGGGCGGCTGCTTCTGACAGGGACCTGAGAGAGGTGCGGCTTCCCCCCTGCTCTGGGCACACCTCGCCCCCCACCACCCATTTCCCGTGAAGAGAGAGAGAGTTCCTGGACCCCTCCTGCCTGTGAGCAGCCACTCCTTCCCATTTCTGGCCCAGGGAGGTGGCAGGGGAGCTCCCTGGATGCCCAGGTACCACCCTGCCCTGACCGCAGGTGTGAGCCTGCTGACCTCCAGCAGGGCAGACAGGGCCCTGTAACCTGAAGCTCATGGGGGAGGGGGCATGAATTTTTGATGCTGAAGGCTCCGGTGTCCCAGGCCTGGGCTCTGGATTATTGATGGGGGCGAGGAGGCATGGGTGTGGGGGCCCAGGAGGGCAACTCTCTCCCCTGCCAGGTGTCACTTTGCCCTGGTAACCCTAGAAGGGGAGCATTATAGCCTCTCCCTTGGGACTGGCATCTCGGTCTTCCCCTCCTGAGGGTCTGAGCAGCTCAGCACAGGGACAGAATCGAGGTTGCAGTAAGCGGAGACCCTCCCCAGCTCCCCCCGTTTTCTCGCCCCTCCGCACTGTTGCCCACATTGTCTCCACCCTGTGGAAGAGCTCCAAGTGCAGTGGGGTCAGGGGTCATGTGCGGTGGGAGAAGGTGGAGCCCCAGAGCCCAGGCTGAGGGGACCACCAGCTAGGGGTCTGCACACTGGCAGTCTTCACCTGGGTGCTATGAGCTCCAGTCCAGCTAGCTGAGCTGGACCTGGCCACCCAGATGCCTTAGGGTGGCAGGCAGAGTGAGGGGGTCCAGCTCAGGGTCACTCAGCACCAGGGGCCTCTGAGGACATGACCCCAGTGGGTTAGACGAAAGCCCCCCCTCATCCCCCGAGATGCCCAGTCTGAATCCTATAATTAGTTTCTGACCTCAGCCCTCCAGCTGTGTTCCCACAGAATTCCCCTGACCCCTGGACCGCTACAAGGTCATGCTGGCCTGGTCCTCGGAGCACCCAGAGACCCAAGTAGGGCCCAGCCTTGGTTTCTGCACCTGAACGCAGGGATCATTGGCGTCCCGTGGCTCCCCAGATTTTACCATGAACCTTCCTTCAGCATTTGGGCCCCTTGATCATTGGCCATTGCTTTCCAGCTCCTTGACCCAGAGACCCAGACAGGTCTGTTTTGGGTTAGTTCCTGAAGTCCACTTCTCCTCCAGGAAGCCCTCCAGGCTGGCACTTCTTGTCTGGTAGACTGGGGCTAGGTGTGCATGCAGGTGTGCCAGCATAGACTTTGTGCCACCTCTTGGCTAACTCTGCATTTGCCTGTGTGTTTGCTAGCACCATGGGACTGTATGTGTGACTCTGCATAATACCTAAACATGTATGTCCGTTTATGTCTGACCAGTTGTGTGTCAGTGTTTGAACGTATTTGTTTTGGTTGGGAGACACACCCAGCGATGCTCAGGGACTACTCCTGGTAGTCCTCAGGGGACCATGAGGCACTGAGGATTGGACTAGGGGTGCCAGCATGCAGAGTGCACCCCAGCCTCCACAGCATGTCCACAGGCTTCTGATAGTCTCCCTTCTCTGTCCCACACAGATGCCAGACTAGGTTGGGTCCTGTTGGCCCATCTGCCATGTGGCATGTGCGTGTGTGTGTGTGTGCGCGCGCGCGTGTGTGTGTGTGTGTGTGTGTGTGTATGCAAGGGCAGTGCACTTGGGAAACATTGGTTCATGTGTCTCAGCATCTGTGGGTATCACAATGTTAGGAGTACCCCAGGCCAGCCCAGTCCTGGGGGTAGGTCGGGGACAGTGGTGGCAGAGCGGGGCCTTCACTTCAACTGGCTGGCTTGGCCAGAGCCCGCCTTCTCTTTGGGGGTCTCCCTAAACCCTGGCCGTCTGTCACCAGAGCCTCCACAGCCAGCCGCCTGCCCGCCTGGCACCTCTGCTGACTAAATTTGGGACGTGTGTTCATCGGCGTCTCAGGTTCCGGGTCACATGGGGGGACCGTATTTAACTCGGCTCTCGGCGCGGCCCCCAGCCCCTGCAGGACGCCACCGGCCCAAGTGTGTCCCCACTGTGCTCACTCCCACCATGTTTCTTGTTCTCGTAGCCACTGAGGAGCTGAAGGAATTCTTTGCCAAGGCCCGGGCTGGCTCCGTCCGGCTCATCAAAGTCGTCATCGAGGACGGTGAGTGCCCTGTCAGGCGCGGGCTCAGGCTGGGGCTTATTCTCCCTCTCAGAAGCAGGAAGCCGTCGGGGTGGGGGTGGGGGGGCATGGTCTTTACTCCGTTACACAAAGCAGGGAACGGGAGTGCTGTGGGTGCCCTGCCCAGGATCTGACCCGGCTCCCCCACGGGCTGTGAACTGTCAGAAGGGCACAGCGGGGGTGGGATGGGGGCAGTACACTGCCCACTGGAGCTGGTGCCTCTTCCTGGCCTCACTGCTGACCAAAGGAAGCCTCAGAAAGTGGTGTCACGCCCTTGGGAGGTGCTCCCCTCACCATGGGAAGAAGGGGCTCCTGTTCAGCTTGTTTGAGGGCAGGTTGGGAGGATACTGGTGTGACTGGGCCTTGATCGAGGCCTGTAGGGTAGGGAATAACCCAGGGAGTGGTTCCAGGGTACAGGACGTGGGGACTGGGTGAACGTGAGCTGCCAGGGGCAGGTTGAGGACAGAGGGGATTAGACAGAAGCTAGGGGGACAGGGTAGGAGAGAGGAACTGTGCAAATGAGGGTAGCTGCAAGAGGGGATAGGATCGGTCCCCTGGGAGGTCTTTAGCTTCTCTTGGTAGTGAAGCAGTGGTGGGTCCATTGGGGGCCCCCCACCAAATTGGTGCCCCGCCGACCTTTCACATGTTGAATTGGCGCAAAGCAGGGTGTACCCAGAGTAGAGTTTACCCCAGGTCTCAGGACCAGAGCTGTGCTAGGCTTGTCCAGGGTCCTCAAGTTCAGCTGCTCTCAGAGGTTGGGTCAGGGTCATCATGGGAGGTGATGAATGAGGCTTCCTGGGACAGCAGGCCCCCCTGCCCCCCTTAGAGAGCAGGAGGCCCCTTTGGATGGGCTTCGCTTTCCATCTGCATTAGGGTCCTTGGGCCCCAGGAGTACCCAGAGGTTCCAGCCCCTCCCCCACCCCCCAGCCAGTCCCTGCGCTCTTTCTGGCTGTGGCTTGAGCTCCAGGTTTTTCTTACAGAAATCATGAATTTTACTGGGTCTTTCTTGGTGTGTGTGTGTGTGTGTGTGTGTGTGTGTGTGTGTGTGTGTATGGGGTATGGGGGAGGCACACCCCTGGTGCTCAGGGGTTAACTCCTGTTTCTGCTCTCAAGGATCGCTCCTAGTGGGGCTTGGGGGGGACCATATGAGAATTGAGCCTGGGTCAGCTGTGTGGAAGGCACACACCCTACCCACTGTACTATCTCCGCCTCCTTGAATTATACTTTTTAAAGTCTGTTTTGATTCATTAATTTATTTTGGGTTTTGGAGTCACACCCAGTGGTGCTCAGGGGCTATTCTTGGCTCTTTGCGCAGAGATCAGTCCTGGCGGTGTCCGCGGGACCATATGTGCTGCTAGGGACCAAGCTCGCTCTCTTTCTCTGGCTTGGAAATTACCTTTTCCAAGTGTCCCCCACACTCCAGTGGTGCTAGGGGGCCCAGGGCAGTACCTGGACCTGGCAGTGCCCTGCTTGGCCGTGGGGGGCTCCACCTGGTGGTGCTGGAGGGGAGGTGTCCCGGTGTGTCGGGATCAGTCTTGTGCTTGTCACGCACCCGGTGCTGTGTGCTCCTCACGTGCTCGATCCTTGAGCTCTCTGGCCCCAGAACTCCACTTCTGTTGCAAAACCCAAACAGTTTGAACATGTTGGCAATGAATTAAACAGGGTTCCCAGTCATTGGAGTCTTCTCAGACTGATTGCTGAGCCCACGGGCCCCGAACTCATCCCAGTTCTGGGCAGGTAGATGGGGCTGAAGCCTGCAGAGAGGTGGTGGGCTTGGCTTGCTGGGACCTCAGACAGCTGGACCCCATGTTCACTCCAGAAGGCCTGGTGGTCCGGGGTGAGGAGCCCTGGCCGGGCAGCGACTCTTCCCTTCCTCCTGTTCTTCCTCAGGCCGAGGCCTCTGCTTTAGGGTGGGGGTAGTGCATGGTCAAGGCTGAGTCTCCAGGGCTGGGGGCTGCCTGTCAGCCTGAACGCCACAAGCCCTGCACAGCCAGGGAAGCAGCCTATTTGGGGCAGTGTGGGGGCTTTGGATTGTTCCTGTTGAGGGCAGGACAGCCTGCACCCCCGGCCTCTCCAGGGCCCGGTGGTGGCGGTCTCCTTGTCCTGCTGCTTTGCTTCTGGAGCAGGAAGTGACATGGTGACATGCCCTGGGCTGGGGTGGGGTCCAAGTGAGCACCCTGGTGTGTGGTGTCCCTGAGAGGGACATGGTGGTGGTGGCTGTGGGTGCAAGTTGTCTATGTTGGACATTTGTGGACGTTCTCAAAGCCCCTTCTGTGCATGGATGTGCATGTGTGTAATCTATGACGATGTGCGTGTCTGTGATGGCGTCTGTGTCTGTGATGGCATGCATGTATGTAATGGTGTGTGTGTCTGTGGGGCCATGCATGTCTGTGAGGGCGTGCATGTCTGCGATGGTATGCGTGTACATATGATGGTGTGTGTGCATGCGTGTCTGTGAGGAAATGTATGTATGTGATGACATGTTTCTGTGAAGCTGTATGTGTATGTGATACATGTGTGTGTGTTTGTGATGGTGTGCATGTGTGATGGTGTGTGTGTGCGATGGCATGCATGTGTATGATGGGGGATGTGTGTGCGATGGCGTGCATGTGTGTAATGGTGTGTGTGTCTATGAGGGCACACATGTCTGTGAAGGTGTGCATGTCTGTAATGGTGTGTCTGTATATATGATGCTGTGTGTGCATGCGTGTCTGTGAGGGCATGCATGTATGTGATGGCGTATGTTTCTGTGAAGTTGTACATGTGTGTGTGATGCATGTATGCACGTGTGTCTGATGATGTGCATGTGTATGTAACGGCATGTGTTTCTGTGAGGTCATACGTGTCTGTGAGGGTATGCTTGTCTGCGATCGTGTGTGTGTGTGTGTGATGGAGTGTGTGCATGCATGTCTGTGAGGCATGCATGTGTGTAGTGACATACATTTCTGTGAAGCTGTATGTGTGTGATACATGTGTGCGTGTGTGTTTGTGATGGTGTGCATGTGTGTGATGGTGTCCATGTGTGATGGTGTCTGTGTGTGATGGTGTGTATATTTGTGATGGCATAGATGTGTATAATGGTGTGCGTGTGTCTGCGATGGTGTGCATGTGTTGGATAGGGTGTGCGTGATGGGTGCACGTGTGTGATGGCATGCATGTGTATATGATGGTGTGTGTGTGTGATGGCGTGTGTGTGTGATGGTATGTGTGCCTGTGATGGCATGCGTGTGTGCGATGGTATGTGTGTCTGCAGTGGTATGCGTGTGTGTGAGGTGTACGTGTCTGCGATGGCGTGCGTGCGTGTGATGGTGTGCATGTGTGTAATGGTGTGCGTGTGTGTGATGGCGTGCATGTGTGTGATAGGGTGTGTGTGATGGCATGTTTGTCTGCGATGGCATGCATGTGTGTGATGGCGTGCATGTGTGTGATAGCATGTGTGTGTGTGATGGTGTGTGTTTCTGCGATAGTGTGCGTATGTGTGGTGGCATGCATGTGTGTGATGGGGTGTGTGTGTGATGGCATGCATATCTGCGATGGCGTGCATGTCTGTGATGGCGTGCATGCGTATGATGGTGTGCATGTGTGTGATGGCGTGTGTGTGTATGGTGGGGTGTGCATGTGTGTGTGATGGGGTGTGTGTGTGACGGTGTGCGTGCATGTGTGCACACTCGTGGCTGGGCTGTCTGACTGGCGGCTTTGTCTCGCATGTGGCTCGCTCATAGTGCCTCAGCCTGGGATGGACGGGGGCGGGCAGTGGCTGAGACTGGGCTCGACTGTGGAGTCCGGCTGCCCTGGGAAGTGGCTGCACCTCGGCTCACCCTGCCTCTGTCCCCAGAGCAGCTTGTGCTGGGGGCCTCGCGGGAGCCGGTGGGCAGCTGGGACAGAGACTATGACCGGGCTGTGCTGCCGCTGCTGGACCCCCAGCAGCCCTGCTATCTGCTCTTCCGCCTGGACTCCAGGAATGCCCAGGGCTTCGAGTGGCTCTTCCTCGCCTGGTCGCCTGATAACTCCCCTGTGAGTCTTGGGGACCCAGACCCAGCCCCAGGAACAGGAAGTGGGGAAGCAGGCTTTGAGCAGGATGACAGGCCTGCCCCAGTGTCAGAGAGGAACCAGGCCCCTGGGCCTCCAGCCCACACAGCTGCATCAGCCCGGGGCTCTGGGCTTTGGGCTGTGGGAGGGCGCCCCTTGCTGTCTGCACCGCCACACTGCAGCCTCTCTCCACACAGTGCTCTGTAGACCTGGAGGCTTTGTAAGCTGCGGGAGGGGCAGCCCAACCTCCGGGTCCCACAGTGCCTCTGCCCTCCAGGTGCGACTGAAGATGCTGTACGCGGCCACACGGGCCACGGTGAAGAAGGAGTTTGGGGGCGGCCACATCAAGGATGAGCTCTTTGGGACTGTGAAGGTAGCCCCTGGCCCAGGGTGGGATGCTGGGCCTCCCACCCGAGGGTGCGGTCTTAGGCAGGGTCCTCGATCTAGTGGGTGCCCGGCTCGGGGGAAGAGGGAAGGCCGGAGGAAGCGCAGGGCCCTGGAGCCGGACGTGCCTACTCACAGCTGTGTGCCCGCCCGCCAGGACGACCTCTCCTTTGCGGGCTACCAGAAACACCTGTCGTCCTGCGCGGCGCCCGCCCCGCTCACCTCCGCCGAGCGAGAGCTGCAGCAGATTCGCATCAACGAGGTGGGCCCTGCGGGCAGGCCTGGGCTTCCCGGTGGGTTTCCTCCGCCCCCCCCACCCCCGCGAGGCAGGCCAGGGGTCTTGCTCACTGTCACGGCCCCCAGGTGAACACGGAGATCAGCGTGGAGAGCAAACACCAGACCCTGCAGGGCCTCGCCTTCCCTCTACAGCCCGCGGCCCAGCGCGCCCTGCAGCAGCTGCAGCAGAGAGCCGTCAACTACGTCCAGCTGGTGGGGCCCTGCCTGCTCTTCCCTGCCCTTGCCCAGCCCTGCGCACCTGTACAGCCGCCACCTCACCCCCCACCCCCCGCGACACTGCATGTCCACATGCCACCCTGGTTCACTCTGACCCCTCACCCCAAGTCCTGGACTTCTTCCGGGAGGGTCCCTCTGCAGTAGAGTGATGCCCCCCTCCAAGGCGCCTCGCCAGAGGTCTCCTGCTGAAGAGGAGTCAGTCCAGTGGACATCTCTCTGAGGTCGCGGGTGGGGGGTGGGCACTGCCTTGGACGTGAGAATTCTTCCTGCCGGAGTTTCCTGGGCACAGAGTTCCCACTGGGCGAGGGGTGGACTTCTCTTTGAGAAGCGCTGGAAGATGGTCCAGGACGGGGACTTCTAAGCACGCTCATTCTTGGCCCCTGCCCGCTGCTGGTTCCTGCCTTGTGTGGCCACCGGGCTTCCCTCACTACCCCGTGCCCTCCGGCAGAAACTGGACCTGGAGCGGGAGACGATTGAGCTGGTACACACAGAGCCCACAGAAGTGGCCCAGCTGCCCTCGCGGATCCCCCGAGATGCTGCCCGCTACCACTTCTTCCTCTACAAGCACACACACGAGGGTGATTCCCTCGAGTCTGTGGGTGAGTGGCCACAGCGCGGGGCCCCCACTGTGCCAGAGTGGGTCTGCGGGTGCCCAGGTCGGCCCGGGCTCACACCGTCACCCCCACAGTGTTCATCTACTCCATGCCCGGGTACAAGTGCAGCATCCGGGAGCGCATGCTCTACTCCAGCTGTAAGAGCCGCCTCCTCGACTCTGTGGAGCAGGACTTCCAGCTGGAGATCTCCAAGAAGGTGGGTGTCAGGTGCCCACCTCCTCCCCCAGGGACACAGGAGGCCCAAGACCGCCCAGGGCGGGGATGTCCTGGGACTGGGGGTGATCCTGTGCTGGGTACTGTCCCTGTGCAGATTGAGATCGATGATGGCGCGGAGCTGACGGCCGACTTCCTGTACGATGAGGTGCACCCCAAGCAGCACGCCTTCAAGCAGGCCTTCGCCAAGCCCAAGGGCCCGGGGGGCAAGCGGGGCCACAAGCGCCTCATTCGCGGCCCTGGGGAGAACGGGGACGACAGCTAAGGGGCCGGACTGAGCCATGTGGCGAGTGGAGGACCGGGGGCTACCCCGGTCCTCAGCCCACCTCTCTCCTCAGCCCTGTCCCAGGGTGGGGCTGTTTTTTTGGGGGGGCAGCTTCCCAGGCCCCCTGGGCCACCTCTGTCACCTCTCCCGGCCCCCTCCCCACTTCTCTGTGCCCGGGGCATCTGGGGGCCCTGCCCAGCAGGCTCAGGGGAGCTGGGTGGGGGGGCCTAGGGTGAGCCTGGCCCCCAGGACACAGAAGCCTTTGGCCACTGGGCAGGGCAGGGGAGTCACTGCAGGATGAGATGATTGAATGCTGTATTTTTTAAAGAATAAAATATTTTTAAATCAACGCCTGAATTTGACCTTGAGGGACCACCTCTGTCTGCGACTTGGACAACTGTGCGTGGATCGGCCCCTCAAAGCTCAGAAGGGGCTTTCGGACCCCATGTGGATGTGGGGGGGGCACCATCTCACACAAGTCCCCGAGGGGTGTCTGGGAGCACTGTGGATACTGACACAAAGCATCACGAACATGAGACCCTAAGACAGCACCAGTTAAAATATAAGAATAAGGGGTCATAGAGATAGTACAGCAGATAAGGCACTTGCCTTGCACGGGGCTGACCTGGGTTTAATCCCCAGCATCCCATATGGTCCCCAAGCACCACCAGGAGTGATCCTGAGCACAAAACCAGGAATAAGACCTGACAACTGGCCAAAAACCAAAGAAAAAAAATACAACTTAATTTAAAAAAAAGTCTTCGTTAGGGGCTGAAGAGATAGCACAGCAGGTAGGGCGTTTGCCTTGCACACGGCTGACCTGGGTTCGATTCCCGGCATCCCATATGGTCCCCTGAGCACCGCCAGGGGTAACTCCTGAGTGCAGAGCCAGGAGGAACCCCCGTGCATTGCCAGGTGTGACCCAAAAAGCAAAAAAAAAAAAGTTCATTAAAAAAAATAAAATATAGGAATAAAATGCTTGGGTGGGGGCTGGAGTGATAGCACAGCGGTTAGGGCATTTGCCTAGCATGCGGACGACCTGGGTTTGATTCCCAGCATCCCATATGGTCCCCTGAGCACCGCCAGGAATAATTCCTGAGTGCAGAGCCAGGAGTAACCCCTGTGCATCGCCGGGTGTGACCCAAAAAGCAAAAAAAAAAAAAAGAATAAAATGCTTGGGCTGGAGAGATAGCACCACAGGTAGGGCGCGTGCCTTGTACACAGGTGACCCGGGTGCAATCCTCGGCACCCCACATGGTTCCCCAAGAGTGATCCCTGAGCACAGGCAGTTCCCCCCGCCCCACCCCCCAAAAGAAAAGCTTCTTCTTGGTATCTTGATCAGTTTTACAGGGCTAGTATCAAGGCACAGAGAAAGCCAATTCCTTCTGGAGATCTAGAAAAACCCACTTCCTTGCCATTTGCAGCTCCTAGAAGCTGCCTGCTCTCCTTGGTTTGCAGCCCCATCCCCATCTTCCCTATCAGAGGTGTAGCCAGCCTCTGCCCTCTGCTCTGAAGTCCATCCCCCTTCATCCCTGTGTGGTAGGGACACAGGATGACCTACTTCCAGGAATCCCGGTGTGCTTTCCTTAACCACACTACAAAGATGTTCTCATGGGAAGGGAATCTGGCCACCAGCTTCAGGGGTAGGACATCGACCTCCTTGGGTGCGTTCTCCAGCCTTCTGCTGGCTAAGCTCTGCTCACTGGGTTTCCCAGCCTTTCTGAAGTCAGAGTTTGTGGACAGCCTAGCCTACTGGGTCAAGCCTGGGGACATGCACATAGCAATGTCCCTGGGTGCTCATCAGTGCTTGGGTGCCCATGGCGTTGGTCGCAGGGACTAGGGGAGACTAAGATGCCTCCCTTGGACCCAAGACTTGGCAGGCCCAGAACTTCCATCTCTGCTGTGGGGTTGGGGTTGATAAGACCCTCCCATGCCGGGGCAGGGGCAGTGTGCAGGGCTGGGGTCAGTGGGGAGGTTTGTGGGATTCAGCTGCTGCATGGCCACCGTCCTTGCTTTGGGGAGCACATCTTATTTTCTATTGGGGGGGGGGTCTGAGGTCACACCTGGCTACTCAAGGCTCATTGCTTCCAGTGTTAGGGGACTTTGCAGTACCATGAGCTGAACCTGGGCCTCCCACATGAAAAAGCAGATGCTCGGGGACAAGGGACAAGCAGGGACAAGGCAGGGGACCAGGTGTTCTCAAGAACCCCAAGAACTCAGGGCTTGGGGGTGTTGGCAGGGCTGGCTGCTAAGTGCTGGGCGGGGTGGCAGGCAGACAAGATCAGGCAGGTCTCAAGGAAAGGGTCCTGAGCAGGGTCTTCAGTGGCCCAGGGAGGGCATGTGTGTGGATGGAGGAGGGCACGGCTAGGCCAAGGGACAGTCCCCTTAGAAGCCGTGGGTGGTGCGTGTGCAGTCAAGTGGTGGCAGGAAGTGGTCAGGGGGGCCCAAGGATGTGTTCTCGGCAGCAGCTCAGACCAGGCAGGGGCCAAGGAGCTCTGCGCAGGGGGGACCCTCATGCAAGCAAGGGCTGAGGGGATGGGAGACGGGGTGAGAGCAGAAGACCCCACAGGCTGAGTCCTGTGGGCTGGCAGTGGGACAGGGACTGGTTCTGGGCGAATTCTGAGGGGACCCATGGGACTGGCTGAGGGTCCTGGGTCACTGAAGTTTTGGGCCTGAGCTCCAGCACCTGGAAGTGAACAGGGCAGGGTTGGGACAGCAAGGCAGGCTCGGCAGGGGGCCCGGCAGGGGGCCCGGCAGGGCTGGAGTGGAAGCAGGTGCCCCCTGGGGACAGACCACAGGGTTTGGGAGGGGCTGGGCTGAAGGTGGTGCACGGTGAGGAGTGGGGTGAAGGGGTCCTCCTAGCACAGAAGGACCGAAGGGCTGACCCAGCCCCGCCTGGTGTAGCCCTCACGGCCCTAACTGGGCTCTGGGCCTCTGCTTCTCCCTGGACATCCCGGAGGACAGGTGTGTGACTGCGGGGGATATGGCGGGACTTGGCGGAGGACACTGGAAAGAGGAAGGAGTATACGTCTGCCATCTGGCTATGTAAATAGTTTCTGAATCACTGCATCCCTCCCCCACCCCCCGCAGCCCAGCCCAGGAGGGTTGGGAGTGGGCTTACTGGAGCACTGAGAAATTCTCACTTCCTCTGTTCTCAGAGCTGCAGAGGGAAGGGACCCGGGTTAGGGATATCTTTCCTGCGGCTGCTGCCAGCTGGGCAGCCGGACCCTCTGGAGAAGCTCCACTCGCTGTCATGGTAGGAGCTGGGATGGGACAGCCTGTGTTGTGGCGGGAGTGGAGGGGGGGACTCAAGAGTAGTGGAAGGTGGCCCCTGCAGACTGCAGAGACCAGCCCTATCTGGTGTGACCAGTCCTGCCTGCAGCCAGACCAACCACTGTGTGTTGGGTTGGTGGGTACGGGCTGGGTACCCGACTTGAGTCCCCCCACTGCGCCCCAGCTGCCCCCCAGCTGCTGCCCCCCCACAACTCCCAGCCCCTCAGCAAGGCAGATGCATTTGTGGGGCTGAGGTGGCGGAGCCCGCACTGGTCTGTCTGGGCTGAGGGGTGACCAGCCTGGCTGCCCGCAGGAGACCCTCCTTCCCGCCTGGGTCTTGGCTCGAGTGGGCAGGTGGCTGCAGGAAGGGGGGCCGGGTGCGGCCTTTCTGGAATGGAAAGTGAAATGGCGCCCTAGGAGGAGAAGAGGGAAGTAGGGCAGGATGGCGGCGGGGCCGGCTGGGCGCAGGTGGGGGTGCTGTGGACCCCTGTCTGGCTCTCCTGCCCCAATGGGGTTCGGTTATGAGAGAAAGTTCTAGATCCTGAGTCTGGGTTGCAGCTCTCAGGGTCAGGGCTGAGTCCCATTCTGGGGCGAGGGCTGGCTCTGAGACCTCAGTCCAGGTTCGGTCAGGGGGTCTTGGGAGACCCTGTGAGGTGGGCTGGCCACACTCACTCTCCACCCCTGTCCCCTGCAGGGTCCCCGCTGGAGCGCCCGGCTCCCCTTCTCTCTCCTGGTGCAGGCCGTCACCCTGGCCGAGGCCCTGGCCCTGGGTACACTGCCCGCCTTCTTGCCCTGCGAGCTGCAGGCCCCGGGCAGAGTCAACTGTGACTGGCTCTTCCTGACATCCGTGCCCCACTTCTCAGTGGCGGTCCGGGCCAACGTCACCAGCCTGTCCCTGCGTTCCAACCGGATCCACCACCTCCATGACGCCGACTTCGCCCACCTGTCCAGCCTGCGGCGCCTGGACCTCAAGTGGAACTGCCCGCCGGTGGGCCTCAGCCCCCTGCACTTCCCCTGCCGCATGACCGTCGAGCCCCACACCTTCCTGCGCGTGCCCACTCTGGAGGAGCTGAACCTGAGCTACAACGGCCTCACCCACGTGCCCGCTCTGCCCCGCTCGCTCGTCACCCTGTCCCTGAGCCGCACCAACATCCTGGTGCTCGACCCCGCGAGCCTCACGGGGCTGCCCGCCCTGCGCTCCCTCTACATGGACGGCAACTGCTACTACAAGAACCCCTGCCGGCAGGCAGTGGTGGTGCCCCCGGGTGCCCTCTTGGGCCTGGGCAACCTCACCTACCTGTCCCTCAAGTACAACAACCTCACCAGGGTGCCCCGCGACCTGCCACCCAGCCTGGAGTCCCTGCTGCTGTCCTACAACCACATCGTCGCCCTGGGGCCCGAGGACCTGGCCAACCTGACCTCCCTGCAGGTGCTGGACATGGGGGGCAACTGCCGGCGCTGTGACCACGCCCGCAACCCCTGCACCGAGTGCCCCAGGGGCTTCCCGCGTCTGCACCCCGACGCTTTCGTCCACCTGCGCAACCTCCGCGGGCTGGTGCTGAAGGACAGCTCTCTCTTTAGCCTGGACGGGCGCTGGTTCCGGAACCTGCCCCACCTGGCCGTGCTAGACCTGAGCGAGAACTTCCTGTACGACTGCATCACCAAAACCACGGCCTTCGAGAGCCTGCGCCAGCTGCGCAAGCTCAACCTGTCCTTCAACTACCACAAGAAGGTGTCCTTTGCCCGCCTGCACCTGGCCCCGTCCTTCGGGAAGCTGGTGGCCCTGCGGGAGCTCGACATGCACGGCATCTTCTTCCGCCTGCTCAACAGCGAGACGCTGCGGCCGCTCAGGGGCCTGCCCCAGCTCCAGCGCCTGCGCCTGCAGATGAATTTCATCAATTGGGCCCAGCTCCCCATCTTCGGCACCTTCCAGGGTCTGCGCTTCGTGGACCTCTCCGACAACCGCATCAGCGGAGCGGCGGTCCCCACCGGCAACTCAGGGGGCCGGGAGCTGCTTCGGCCGCCCCCCAGGGCTCCGGCGCCAGGCCGCCAGCCCCTGCTCCACGCCGGGCAGCAGTTCATGCCCAGCTGCCAAAGCTTGAACTTCACTCTGGACCTGTCCCGCAACAACCTGGTGAGCATCCAGCCCGAGATGTTCGCGCAGCTCTCGCGCCTGCAGTGTCTGCACCTGAGCAGCAACAGCATCGCGCAGGCCGTCAATGGCTCGCAGTTCACCCCGCTGAGCAGCCTGCGGGTGCTCGACCTGTCCCACAACAAGCTGGACCTGTACCACGGGCGCTCGTTCACGGAGCTGCCGCGGCTGGAGGCGCTCGACCTCAGCTACAACAGCCAGCCCTTCAGCATGCAGGGCATCGGCCACAACCTCAGCTTCGTGGCCCGGCTGAAGGCCCTGCGCCACCTCAGCCTGGCGCACAACAACATCGACAGTCGCGTGTCCCAGCAGCTCCGCAGCGACTCGCTCGTGGCCCTGGACTTCAGTGGGAACGACCTCAACCGCATGTGGGCCGAGGGAGACCTCTATCTCCGGTTCTTCCAGGAACTGACGGTCCTGCAGCTGCTGGACCTGTCCCAGAACCGCCTGCACACCCTTCTGCCTCGCAGCCTGGAAAACCTTCCCAAGAGCCTGCAGGTGCTGCGCCTCCGAGACAACTTCCTGGCCTTCTTTAACTGGAGCAGCCTGGCCTTCCTCCCCGAGCTGGTCGCGCTGGACCTGGCGGGAAACCAGCTGAAGGCCCTGGCCAACGGCAGCCTGCCCAACGGCACCCGGCTGCAGGCACTGGACCTGAGCAGCAACAGCATCACCTTCGTGACGCCTGGCTTCTTCGCTCCGGCCAAGGGGCTGCGAGAGGTCAACCTCAGCGACAACGCCCTCAAGACGGTGGAGCCCTCGTGGTTCGGCACCGTGGCCGTGGGCCTGGAAAGCTTGGACGTGAGCGCCAACCCTCTGCACTGCGCCTGCGGTGTGCCCTTCGTGGACTTCCTGCTGGAGGTGCAGGCTGCCGTGCCCGGCCTGCCCAGCCGGGTCAGGTGTGGCAGTCCCCGGCAGCTGCAGGGACGCAGCATCTTCACGCAGGACCTGCGCCTCTGCCTGGACGAGACCCTCTCCTGGGACTGCTTCGGCCTCTCGCTGCTGGCCCTGCTGCTGGGCCTGGCCTTGCCCCTGCTGCACCACCTCTGCGGCTGGGACCTCTGGTACTGCTTCCACCTGGGCCTGGCCTGGCTGCCCCGGCGGGGGTGGCGGTGCGGCGCCGGGGCCCTGCCCTACGATGCCTTTGTGGTCTTTGACAAAGCGCAGCCCGCCGTGGCCGACTGGGTGTACAACGAGCTGCGGGTGCGGCTGGAGGAGCGCCGGGGCCGCCGGGCGCTGCGCCTGTGTCTGGAGGAGCGGGACTGGCTCCCCGGCAAGACCCTCTTTGAGAACATGTGGGACTCGGTCTACAGGAGCCGCAAGACGGTGTTCGTGCTGGCACACACCGACCAGGTCAGCGGCCTGGTGCGCGCCAGCTTCCTGCTGGCCCAGCAGCGCCTGCTGGATGACCGCAAGGACGTGGTGGTGCTGGTGATCCTCAGCCCCGACGGCTACCGCTCCCGCTACGTGCGGCTGCGCCAGCGCCTCTGCCGCCAGAGCGTCCTCCTCTGGCCCCACCAGCCCAGTGGCCAGGTCAGCTTCTGGACCCAGCTGGCTGTGGCCCTGACCAGGGACAACCGCCACTTCTACAACCGGAACTTCTGCAGGGGCCCCACCACAGCCTGAGATCCCAGGGTGGGGCGGGCGAGCCCTTCCCCCTCCACCCCCACTGTTCCTCACCCTGCCTCCCCCCTCCCTTGCCCCCCTCCCCCCTCCATCCCGCAGTTACTGCATGTGACCAATAAAGGCCACAGAGGGAGGGCCTCACAAAAGACCCACAGCCCCATGGAAGAGTGCACAGAAGGGAAGGGGGGAATTCTCGGGCTTTTTTTTTTTTTCCCAATCTGGACAGAGTAAAACCACTTCCCATGTGTGCAAGCTACACACCTTACCACATCTCTGGTCTTTTAATTTTTTTTTTTAAATAGAAATGGGGGCAGGGGGTGGGGAGGGACTGGGGGCAGAGCCCTAGTACAGAGGTTAAGGCGTTTGCCTACCCTGTGGTGATGACCACCATAACCCTAGCTCAGCTGCCGGGTCCACATATGATTAGTGCCCCAAGCCCTTGCAATAGTGGTCCCTGAGCACTGAGCCAGGAGCAGGCCCCAGGCATAGCTGGGGGTAACCCAAAAACTTTTTTAAAATATACTTAAATAAATAGGGCTGGAGCGATAGCACAGCGGGTAGGACGTTCGCCTTACAAGCGGCCAACATGGCCGACCCGAGTTCGATTCCTCCGCCCCTCTCGGAGAGCCCGGCAAGCTACCGAGAGTATTCGATATGCCAGACACAGTAACAACAAAGTTCTCCAATGGAGACGTTACTGGGCCCGCTCGAGCAAATCGACGATCAACGGGAGGGCCTTTACTTTTACTTTACTTTTTACTTAAATATATTTACTTATAAATCACCATTTTATTTATTTTTTAAGGGGACAAAGGCCTGTTTTAGGGGGACAAAGGCCACGCTCAGTGATACTCAATCTGGCAGTTCAGGCCTAGCAGTGCTGAGGCCCTCGGGTGCTCGGGGCTGTGCACGTCAGGGACCAAAAGTGTTAGTGCTTGCTTTCCACCCCTTTGAACTAGCTTCAACCCTACCCTCTCCAGGCCTCTTCCTCTTAATTTAGGCTTAGATTGACTTTTATTTGGTTCTGGAGGATCAGATTCTAAAGCCAGTGCTACAGGAGCCAATGCCTCCAGACCCTCTTAAAGTGACAGGGACAAAAGATGATTGGAAGGAAATTGTCAGGGAGCCCAATCAAGAGCCACAGGATGGTACAGCTGCCTTGTGCGAGTGTGTGCGTGTGTGTGTGTGTGTGTGTGTGTGTGTGCATGTGTGCGGGGGCGGGGGGAGGGAATACTAAGGGCAGTTGTGTTCATGGAAATCTCCAGGGCATCTGAGAGGGGGGTAAATGAGGGCTTAGTCCTTCTTCCCCGAGAGCCGAGAGCAGACTGCGTCTCCTGCCCTTATTTTCTTTGTTGTTTGCTTTTTTTTTCTTTTTGGGTCACACCCGGTGATGCACAGGGGTTACCCCTAGCTCTGCACTCAGGAATTACTCCTGACGGTGCTCAGGGGACCATATGGGATGCTAGGGATCGAACCCAGGTCGGCCGCGTGCAAGGAAACGCCCTACCCGCTGTGCTATCGCTCCAGCCCCTGTTGTTTGCTTGCTTTTGGGCCACACCCAGCCGTGTTCGGGGCTTAATCCTGGCTCTGGACTCAGGGATCACTCCTGGTGGGGCTCGAGGAATCACAAAGAGTGGATTAAACCCAGCTTGGCTGCGTGTAAGGCGCAAGCCCTCTCTATTGTACTACTCTCCAGTCGCTCTCTCCTGCCTTTAGCTCCTCCCAGCATGCTCTGCCCTGGGGATCCATGCTAGCTCAGTGTCCCTCTCTCGGCCTTAGGATCTGTCTTCCTCACATGCTGGACTGAAAATGCCCCAGAAGCAGGGAAGCTGCAATCTCGGGGAATATTCCTGCCAAATTGATCCAGTGTTGCGCCCGAGAGCCAATTGCGCCCTCTGGTGGCCATGCCTGGAGCCCCGCGAGAAGGCTGGCCCAGGTGAGGGAGAACGTGTGTGGGGGTATCCAGAATCGCCTGGCTAGCCAGACCTGCTCCGGGCCTTTGCAAGGAAGCTTGGGACGGCCACAGATTTGGCTAATCTTGCAGCCTGAGTGCTGGAAGTCCTGGGCCCTCCTTCCAGGGCTCAGCTGGAGAGAGGCACAGCCGCCTTCCTCTTTCAAATGGGCACGGAGGCTCCTACTGCGGTCTCGTCTCCTGGCTCCTAAAAGCTGTTTTTCCTGAAAGAATGCTAGAAGGAGCATCCCTGCGCCACACACCCGCTCCCTCCCAACACCCACGGGGAGTTATGTATGCCCTGGACTGCTGGGAGAGGCCTGGCTGCCTTCTGGGGGAGCAGGTAGGACCTGCCCCTGCTTCTTCCTCGACTGGTGAGTGGCAAAGAAGAAAACAAGAACTGCTCTTCCCAGGCAGGAGACTCAGGGAGGTGCCCTCTGAGCAGCTCTGAGCTAGTCCGGGCACAGCAGGAACCCAGACAGGAAGCGGGGGCCCTATCTGGGTGTCTGGTCTGGCATGTGGGAAGAAGTTTTTCTGTCTCATAACAGTTGAACCTGCTCTAGGGCCATGCCCAAGTCACCCACAGTGCTCAGAACCTGTCAGGGAGTTCGCGGGGAGGAAGGTTCTGCTTGGGTGAATCTGGGGCCCAGGTCTAATGTTTGGCTGCGATGCAGAGGAGAGGGGAAAGCAGAGCTCCCCTGGGACTCTGGCCTGCTGGGAGGGGCAGGAACTGGGCCCCCGGGCAGGTGGGTACGAGGCAGCTTCTGCTGTATGGGGTCAGAAATAGTACCTAGGCAGCCTGAGAGAGAGTACAGAGGTTAAAGTGCCCCCTGACATGTGGTGGGCACCAGATAGGGTCCCCTGAGTTCTACAAGAGCTGACCCCCTGGGCCAGGGTGATAGTACCCTGCCTTGCACCTAGCTGACCCAGGTTTGATCCCCAGCACCTCCGGAGCCTGCCAGGAGTGATCTGTATGCACAGAGCCTGGACTACTGCCTGGGATTTCAGAGAGAGAGAGAGAGAGAGAGAGAGAGAGAGAGAGAGAGAGATTGCGCTCAGGTGAGCTGGGGAAGAGGCAGAAGTCAGATCACACCCCTGGGGTCGGCACCAGCACTGCCATTGGGATATGGGCCAGAGTCCTCCCCTTCAGAGCCTCCGTCTGCTCATCTGTAATGAGGTGGCTGGAGCCATTCTGCAGATTGTTCCAAGGCTTCATGGTGACGTGCGTGAAGAGCCGACACACTGGGCACTGGCCATCACTGTTCAGGAGGGCCACTTGCTAAGGGAGGGCCCATAGTTCTCTCTGTCACAGAGAACCAGGCTCCGAAGTAGATGTGGTCAAATCAGAAGCACAGGAATTGGGGAGCAAGAGTCCTGTGGTACTCCTTGTTCCTCTTGCTTTGGGGAACCAGTGAGTTTTACGAGACAAACAGCGCAGAAAAAAGCTGAGGGCAGGAAGACCTAAATGTGAGGCGACTCACTGCTCAAATTGTCCACTGTCCCCTCCAGGACACTTGTCATGCTCCCCTAGGTTTTGAAATATCTCAGGGAGCTTCCACACATGCCACATCTCCTATCAGATGCCACGGTAAAGCGCCTGACAAATACGCTCACAGTGAGTTCAAAGGGTGATGGCGTGATGCGTGAGTTTGGTGGCCGAGAGCTGCCTCCCTGGCCTCCTCAGCAAAGGAACAGAGAGACGGGGAGCCACCAACTGGTGGTCAAAATGGCCCATTTCGTGTGAGTTGCTAGCATACTTATAAAACATCTGAAGGGGGTTGAGGTACAGGACTGCATGTAGATGTGGTTGATCATTTACAGAGGGAAAGCATTTCGGCAGAGGCAGTTCTCTTGGGGGGAATTAACTCAAGGAGACACTGTCTCCCAGGGACATCTCTATTGCTTTTCTCTTTCCCTTAAGTTGTACATATTAAACAATTAAGTTTACTTCTTATTAACACTTTCACTTATTTGGATAAACATAGTAAGACACATAGATTTCAAATATATTCCAAAACTTAGTGCTCTGAGCGCTAAGTGCAAGGCTGCTGGACTTCTCCTATAAATCCCAGACTAGGTCCTCAGGCGGGTTCAGCTTGTCCTTCTCCATGGGGGTTCAAGGCGCACGGTGGGATGCCCCTTTTTGGGGTATTAGAAACTACAGCAACTGAATCCTGAATCAAGTAATTATATACCCTGGAGTAGATTTGTACTTCAGAGTCAATCAACTCCCAAATATTAGGAGCACAGCATTAACGAACTTCCTGTGTTGAAGCAACATTGCTCTATAGAAAATATGAAAAGGCTATCGGGGAAATAGAAAAGCAAGGCATCACTTTCGAAACAAAGTCCAGAATCACCAGAAATTTTGGTTTCTAAGTAACCAAGACTGACTTGAGGAATTGTGACAATGAGAGGTAAAACACAAAGGAAAGCTTAAAGATAAACCCGGGGAATTAGGCGTGCTCGCAAGACCACTGCAATCTTCTCTGGGGAGAGGAAAAGGAGCAATTCACTGACGAAGCCTAAACATTTACAAATTCTTACACAATTTTTTTTTAATTTGTTTTAAAGCTGTTCATTAATCCTCACCTTCCTGCACTTCACTCTGTCCCCTGACTTCTGACCCACTTTGTGGCCTTGAGGAGAAAATGCAGTGAGCAGCAGACTGGCTCTGAACCGAGAGAGGACCAGGCCTCTGGGGATGTGGGGGAGCAGAGCGTGGTGGTGGATCCCGGGTCCTGAGTCTGCAGCTCAGATGGTGCCCAGAACAGGAGGCAGGCCCGTGGCTGGATGCAGGCCCGTGGGGCTGCTGCTGGGTTATGTGAGGGCTCTCTCTCTCTCTCTCTCTCTCTCTCTCCTCTCTCTCTCTCTTTCTCTCTCTCACCTCTCTCTCTCTCCTCTCTCCTCTCTCTCTCTCTCCTCTCTCTCTCCTCTCTCTCCTCTCTCTCTCTCTCCTCTCTCTCTCCTCTCTCTCTCTCTCTCTCTCTCTCTCTCCCCTCTCTCTCTCTCTCCTCTCTCTCTCTCCTCTCTCTCTCTCTCTCTCTCTCTCTCTCTCTCTCTCCA